ATGTAACCGACGAAAAGATGACATGAAAAAAGATTGATTATCTCTCTATATCTCTCCATCCTCTCTCTCTCTTTCTCTCTTTCTCGCTGTTTTCTCTCTCTGTATCTCTCTCTCTCTCTCTCTCTCTCTCTCTCTTCGTCCCTGTCTCTCTCACTCCCTGTCTCGCTCGCTTTCTCAGGGCCATTCTCCATCTCTGTTAACGTTTTCCTTTCTGCTATTTGCTTTTATTCAGAAAGTGTGTATTCCTTTCGATCTTGAGATAAATTATTTTACCATAACACTTTGGAGACGACGGGCTTCTACAGAAGCCGAGATATATCCCTAATATGTTGACAAAGTTTTCCAGCTTATTATCACCTATTATGTGCTAAAGTTCTTTGCAGTATTATTTATATTTAGATTATTTAGGACCCGAAATACCCGTACAGCTTGAGACGGACGCGTACGCGCGCGTCCGTTCTATATTCTTGCCATGATATTCTTGCTTGACGCTACTTCTAAGTTCCATGCACCCTTCCGCATTTCAGATATTAGTATTACGGGTCGTATTATCAGTTCGATTTCGACCCTGATTACTTATTTATATTTATCTACCCTACCGGACGGTGTGGCATTTTTTCCTCATATACTAATCTAAGCCTTATCGATGTAGTGTTTTTAAATGACGATACGCTTTTCATTTTATAAACTTGACCAATTTAGCGAATCATTCATGTATGGACCTCTTTTATGAAAGGCTTATTCCCCACCCTAAGAGGAACAAAAGAAAGTAAAGAAGTAACTACTCTGGAAGATTACCGTTTTGAAAGAAGAGGATGTAGGTCTAAATGTAGGTAAATAGGTCAATCTACATGACAATACAAACAACCACTCTAACTTAATCCTTTACGAGGGCATGTAACCATTTTAGATCAGGTTTGAGTAAAATATATTGATCAACCTATAAAGCCGGTCTTGGTTTGAGCGGGCATATAATATGTTTAAATGTAATGTTCTGAAAAAACGACCCCCTGACTCTTCTTTCTCCCTTTTCCCACGGAATATCACTCCTGTCTTGAGAAACTCCGGCGGTATAGCCACGAATATGCGACTTTTCCTGGGCAAAGATGCTACCATTGTTGAAGAAAAAAATGCAAGGCAACATAAAGACAAGTTTTCTGGCAATGAAGAAAAGCGAGTGCAAGATGAAGAAAATATTTGTTGTTATCATTACTATGTTATTACAATAGTGTAAGCATCATCATCACCATCATTTCATGTATACATTTACATCCCATCTACAGAACTGATCACGAAATGAGGATTATCAAAGTTTTAATGAAACGGTATGTTGAACGAGAACATAGATGGAGATGAAGACAAATAAATTGAAATTCTCACGTTTTTTGCACTTCTTTCTTTCTTGATTCATAACAATGAATTACTATATTTTCAAATCATTTATTTTCGAATAAATAAAAGACTACCAAGACTACGGCGATTAACTCCTTATAAGCCACACCCTTAAAAAAAACAAAAAACAACAACAACAACAACAACAACAACGCGATTCGGAAATAAAACACACTGAAGCACAATCCCAATTTCACGAAATTCCTGACGTATTCAGAGAGGGAGGGGGTAGGAGGAAGACAGGGAGAGCGACACACAGACATAGACAGACAGAGATAGATAGATAGAAAGAGAGATGATTGTGATGAATTATGATTTCGTTCTAATCTCTGTCATTGATTTAGCTCTTTCCATTGCAAACAAAAATCAAATATGCGTACAACAATTCAATAAATATTTTATTGATACAGCAACCTCATATCAAAATAGGGTTCTACGAGATGTATAGATACTAGATAGAGAAAAAAATAAACAAAATTAAGCGGAAGGCAAAAGCTAAAACAAAATTAATATATTCAAATTATGAGAAACGAAGTCAAAAGCATTCAAAGTAAATGGTATTTTTGTTTTCGAGAATAAAACAATGTTCATTTCAAAATTCATTTCCCTAATACTCTATATTTGATTTGCTCATTTAAAAAAAAAGGCATTTATTGTAGATCATGGCATAATGTTGGTCAGAATAAAGTTGGAAAATGTGTCAAAAACCCATGTAAAATGAAGGCTTAGGCCTATTATTTAGTGGCTCGGTTGATAATCGGCCGAGCTTTAGCAGACGACAATCATTGACAATGGGGAAATGAAAGGAGGTATCGACCGATATGCGCGTGCGGCGGTGCTTACGCAATTTGTATTGTGAGTGTATTGAAAAGGAAAGACGTGAAGCTTCAGCAAGATAAGACGGCAATTCCCCTCAAAAATAACAGATCTTATTTTTCTTATTGATAAACAAAACTTATATTTTTAGAAAAGAAAAAGTCTGATCTTTAATTTTTACATTTACGAAAAATCACGAAAATGACTGAATGAGGCGCAATGAGCAATGAAAGTAGAAAGCATCGCCAAATTTACCATTACTGGCGATGTAACCGAAATCGCTCCGTCACAGGGGATACAATCGCTACAAAACACGGAACGAGCGCCTGATGGCATCGAAACAGAAAGAATATCATTGTACAATAATTATACAACAACAACAAAATGAATATGCATCATGACATATAATGGAAACTAAAGGGGAATCCTGAGCGGGTGGGCTGGGGTTGATCGGAGAGACAAATGGCATAATACAAATAAATAACAATGCGCCCAACTTCGTCTCTCTCCCTCGTTTTCTCAAAGTCGATTTCAATCTACATCTCTAATAGCGTTTTCTGTTTCGCGATTTTTAATGAGATCGCGTTCCGACGTAGCCTTTTCTACCCATATATAAAAATAGCTAATCGTAATTATAGGGTAGAACCAAATTTGACCCTATATTAAATATTCATTGAAATATATAACAATCATGGACAGATAAAGCAATGATAAAAACGTGATTTAGTAAATGTCACTGACGAAAAGATGAAATGAGAAAAGATTGATTATCTCTCAGTATCCTCTCTTTCTCTCTACGTCACTGTCTCTGCCTCTCTCTCTGTCTCGCTCGCTTTCTCAGGGCCATTTTCCATCTCTGTGAACATTTTCCTTTCTGCTATTTGCTTTTTTTCCGAAAGTATGTATACCTTTCGATCTTGAGATAAATTATTAAACCATAACCCTCGATATGGAGTAGAAAAACACAGAACGAGCACCTGATGACATCGAAACAGAAAGAATATCACTGAACAATAAATATAAAAAGTATTTTTTTTTAATATGCATCATGACATGTAATGGAAACTAAAGAGGAATCCTGAGCGGATGGGGTGGGGTTGATCGGAGAGACAAATGGCATAATAATACATAACAACACGTCCAACTTTCTCTCTCTCTCTCCCTCGTTATTTTAAAGTCATTTGCAATCTACATATCTCTCTTTTCTATTATCGACCTATTTACTCAATATATTTACAGAAAATTCATTTAATAAAAAGCTATATGACAATATATGCTTCATTGCCTTGCTTGCCGTTGACATGTTTGTTTTTATTATCTATTCAATCCCCAAATAACTAATAGAGATGTACGTTAGATTTATATTGTCTAAATTCTTCGAAAAACAAAGTACCCCTGATTTCTAGACTGAACTCTATCTTTCAAACGCAACTCATCAGAACTTGAAAACATGACGGCGGCATATTATAATATAATATAAATATTATCTGTCTCGCCTCGACTTGACAAAGATAATATTATCTCCCTCACCTCGACTTGACAAGGATAACATTTTGGCAGGCATATTTGACAACAGATCATTTTGGCGGGCATAGTTAAAATCACGACTTTACTTTCAACTAATCAGATGGCAGGATTAGGAAAGATTCTTAAAGTAAGGTTTATAATATATATACATATATCCACGGTACGACTGGTCTCTTTATTGAAAAAGGCATATCAGACAAGAATGACCCCATATTTGTCTCTAGTGACAAGTTGTTATTGTTGTTTTGGGGTTTATAAGGCTGTCCAATCTGAAAAGATTATTTTCGCAAGGCTATACTGTTTTTTCGAGTTATTTATCAGTGATCATAAGATGGCGCTGTTTCTTATGCTCTGACAAATTAGATTCTGCTTTATGAAGATATCGATTGGCAGGATGTGGCGGTGAGCCAGGCCGCGGGGTGGCTGTTTCAATTAGGCCCAGACGACCTCATTGAGAAGAAGCTCGGCTTCCATGCGAGAGGCTGGAGTTTGGCGGCATATCACTGTCCTCCTACCGGCGGCAGCCAGGCTGAGCTCATGTTTTCTAGCTTTTTCCGAGGCTCGGTTTCCATTCGAAAGGCGGCAGCCGGCGCATGCTTTTGGATACCATTTCCTACCGCCAGCGGTAGCCGGCTCAGCTAATTACAAAAATGCAGCCAAGACGCATAAGTGCAGTTAGCTGCCGCCGGCTGGTATATTTATTTTTGACGCCTCGCCTAAGCTGTTCTCATTGTATCAATGTTGCATCTTCGGTTGGTACCAGTAGTCAAAACAAGAATATCATACAAGAGAATAATCTTTGTCCTTCATAAATATGGTGACATGTTCATTCCTTCACTTTCATTCCATTCTTGTAACCATAAATGCTGTAACCATGTCTCTTGCACATGTATGATCTGGGGGGTGTTTCACAAAGATTCTAAGTTGAACTAGTCTCTAAGTTGGACTTAACAATTATGGAAAGCCATTAGCATCTTTAAAAATATTTTGTAAAATCATCCATATTCTCTATTATCAAGCAGATTTCATGTTATTGATGTGGAATTTATGAAAAGTCTAAAATACTTGAATTTTTGATTTTTAATATAATCTATTTTAAGGCTACAAATGGCTCTCCATAATGTTTAAGTCCAACTTAGAGTTAAGTTTGACTTAGGATCTTTGTGAAACACCCCCTGGTGTGCAGATGCTGCTATCCTCTTTCTAAGTTACATTCTCCATATCATATTCCTTTCCAAGTTTCACATTTCTCCTAGCTGACTCACCTTTCTTGGCCTTCAACGTCTTCCTCCAGAGCGTCGAGAAGATGCCATCTGTCCAGTCGTTGGTGGCTACATCCAACCTACCAAACATCTGAGGAGCTGTGATGGCTTTAGGGTTCATTTTCATCTCCCTGTGAGGAGCCCCACAGTCCCCCATGGCTTTCATCAGCAGGTTGATACAGCAGGTCTTGCCCGCACCGCTGGGGCCCAGGGTCATCATACCATGCCGTACCCTCTGGGTCTCGTAGAGCTGTAATGGAAGTTTTCATTACACAATAGCTTCAATATACTGCTTTATTTTCATATGTGCAGAAAATAATGGTGCAGGTCTTGCATGAACAAATGGATTTACTGCCAAGGCTGATGAAAAGTATTTTCTAATCTTTGATGAGTCGAAATCTGGACTGTATAGATACTTTACATCACCATTACAATAGGTAAAGCCCTGAAAAATCTGTGATCACTCCACGTGATACGATCCACCATCTCTTTTGTAGTAAAGTGGTGAACAGACATGAGAGAGCAACTTATACAAATTTATCAGATTGTTGGCCAAAGTATTCAGTTTTGTTTAGCAAGAATTTCATCCTTACCTGTACCACCTTGAGGTTCCAGGCAGGGTGATTTACCAGGTTCATCACATCGACTTGAACCGATAAAGCTGCTTGGAGCTCCTCGTAGGTAGCACTATCTAGCTGGATACCAGGGAACAGATCGCTGATCAAACTCAGGAACAGAGGCTCATCTTCATCCACCTAAACGAATAATACACATGTATGTGTTACAATGTTACAATACTGTAACTAACATTCATGCATTCAGCCAACTCACATTCTTAAATGCACCTGTAAGTTCAATTGAAGTTTCTGAGAAAGAAACTCCACAAAAACCAAAATCATTAGTTACTAGGGGAATTAATGCTAGGTATTATTAAGAAAATAATATTGATCACTTATTCTAGATATATCTATACATGGGACATAATCTAACAAAATTGAATTGTCAATATTTTCAGGCACTTTTGGTCTCCTTTAATGGTGTGGTTTACATTAAGCATATTAACCTAAGCTTGTGCCACAATTAAAATGTGCATTTTTTTCAGGCTTTTCTCTGCCATCTGTTTGATTTACTCTCATTATTGCATTGATAATATACATGATCATAAGATCTTTCAGATGTTGTAAAATAGGTTTGACAGCATTGCACATCTTTTTTTGGGGAAATGTTTTTTTATATTTTTATTTGAGTAGTGTATATAGAGGAAGTTCTTGCTGACCAATTTAGATAGATTCATGTCTCTGAGAACCCTCATGACGATGGTTGACTCGCTGTCTTCTGGTCTAGCTCTCTTGTTGGCTCCCAACGTACGCAGAACTGACAGAATGTTCCGCAGACCAAAGTCATAGTGAACCTGCACAAAGAATAAGAACATTAGAATGGGTGACCTGGCATTTGGTTCAGAGAAAATTGCTCTAGGCTTTGTTTTCATCAGTACAGCTAAGGCTAGGGTTGGAATTGTGTATTAGGTTAGGACAAGAGATAGGATTAGAAATAGTGTTTGGTCCATAATTCAAATTATGAATTGGTTTTGTGTAGGAAATTAGCTGCAATTGTCATAGAACCCAATCATGAGCTAACCAATAAAATGTTTTGAAACTCACATTTGAAGGATATCAGGCAAAATATACCCCTCCACCCTTCAAAAAAAATCCAATACAATTATACTTATTAACATGTTTGAATAAACATGTTAAGAGTTTTCTAGAGAGAAGCAAAAATACAATGGAACATGCCTGCTTGGTGAGTTGTTCTTCACAAAGCTTGTAGAGGGTGTAGAATTTCTGAGCCAGTAAGACATTCTCCTGGAAACCACAGCTGGCCAGTTTGACCCTCATGATGATCTGTCTGTCAGGTACCATCATGGCCACTGATCTGAACTGGATCTTTAGGTTCTCGGGTAGCTCCTGACGACCAGCATATCCAGGGTTCTAGGAATAGACAGAAGCATGCGATAATAGAAATGCGATTTTGCGATTGAAGGTACTAAAATAAAGGTTGTTATGTCTATCATACTTCAATATTAGTCTTGCTCTATCAGAGCCAATTTGCGGAGATGCCAACCTCTTGACACAAAAAGGCAGACTGAATATCGTAAAAATCAGATTATGGAGAGAAAAATCAGATTTCAAGAAAACTCGATACTACCACTGGCCCGTTGGCCCTGGGCCAGTGAAATTTCAGAAAAATGTTTCACTGGTAAGAACGGTCAAGTAAAATGTTTGCCCTTTCATTAAAATTTAATGAGAAAATTGTAAAGCAAAGTTTTTTTGGGGGTTGCAGAGGTTTACTTGTACATGTACATGTTTCTATCTGATTCTGTGTTGTTTTAAATTTTTTAATTTCTTTTAAAGATGAAAAATCGTATTTTAAGAAGTGATATCGTATCATCATATTTCTCTCTTATTATCGTACTAAATGTGATTTAATCGTACCGGTTGGCATCTCTGATTTTGAATGCATTCCCCAATTACCTTGGATAGGTATTACTTCTGTAGTGTTCCTCAATCATAATACATAGTCATGACAAAATGTATAAGACTGTGATAGCTCTGATGAGTTTTGGGGCCTAAACACTAGCCAACAGCACACAAGAAGTTAAGTGAAAATAAAGCATTCAAATACCGTAATTAACGGTGTACTAACCGCACTTTTTTTTTTTAAATTTTCGATTTATGCCCCTCCACCTGGCGCTATGCCTGGCAATGTCTCCCAGCTCAGTAATCGGTGTGTTGACTCACCACTTGGAAACTAGAACAACACTCAAATTTGTCTGTCATCTTGATTTGAAAGTAATCTTTCTGATAGATTTCAATATGTAGTTTATAATAATAATTCCTCCAATTTTTCTTCTATTACATGGCATACCACAAGGTTCTATCCTAGGTCCTCTACTTTTTTTTAAGTCGGCAATAAAAAAAGTCAGCAAAAAAAAGTCGGCAAAAAAAGAAAAAAGAAAAAACGAAAAAGAGGGGTGCGGTTAATATACGAAGGCGGTTTATACAACGTTAATTACGGTAAAGCAATCTCAGGACAATGTCTGTCTAGTAAACTGGTGTAGATCAATGTGGCTATCATGTTACCTGAAGAAAGAAAACATACACTGTCATGTCCTATCATAACATGATTATCATGCCCAGTTACCATTGACATAAAACAAGGGATATTGAAACATTAAACTAAGGGCTAACCATGGTGAGAAAGAGACCAAACTCTGGATTCAAGTCTACCACATCTCCATCCATAAAGACAAACTCCTTCTTTCTCTCTTTCTTGGCAGTCAGAACAATGGCAATCTGTTGTGCAGCCACAGACAGCACAGGAAGCTCAATACGATTGAACTCATCAAAACATCCCCAGCTGCCCGACTGAGCAAGACCTGCATAAGAATATAAACCATGTATAAGTAAATGATATGAATAACCAATGTACATGAGCATTGGGACTAATTAAGATACCGGACTGGTCTCAGAACACTTTACCATATCTTGCCATTGCACAGAATCCTATCGTCTATTGAGGGACAGATTCCAGCCAATCATGACATGAATATTACACTATAAGAACATATGAACAAAACTAGATGGAATTCGACTGCGCGCAGTCGAAAATGATGCCTCCGTTATAGAGCAATTTTACAAACCAAAACAGAAAAAAAAAATTGAATTCACGTTCAATGGTAATCCATTGACAGGTTCTCAGAATATTGTGATTACAAGCAATTTCTCATATACATATATGACCCTTTGATCTTTGACCTCATGACCATAAAATCTACTCAGTTCATTGGCTCTGCAAGATGTTCTGAGTTAAATAGTAATCCATCTGTCAGTTCTAATGAGAATGCGTTCACAAGCTATTTTTGCATACATAATGGGCCCATGACCTTTGACCTTTGACCTTATGAACCAAGAATCTACTCAGTTCATTGGCTCTGCAAGTAACAAACATGACCTAATTTTGGCATGAATCCATCAATCGGTTCTTGAGATAACGCGATCACAAGCTGTTTTTGCATTCATAATGTGCGCTGTGGCCTTTGACCTTTGACCTACGTGCTCCAAAATCTAATCAGATTGTCTTCTTATGGTGATACACACTATCATTAAGTTTGAAGTTTAAATCTCCAGTGGTTCTTGAGATATTATGATAACAATCTCAATGTATGGAATTTCATAAGTTGACCTCTGTGACCCTTGACCTTTGACCTACGTGCTCTAAAATCTAATCAGATCGTCTTCCTATGGTGATACATACTATCCTTAAGTTTGAAGTTTTTACATCTCCAGTGGTTCTTGAGATATGATAACAATCTCAATGTATGGAATTTCATAAGTTGACCTCTATGACCCTTGACCTTTGACCTACGTGCTCCAAAATGTAATCAGATTGTTTTCCTATAGTGATACACACTATCACCAAGTTTGAAGTTTAAATCTCCAGTGGTTCTTGAGATATCATGATAACAATCTCAATGTATGGAATTTCATAAGTTGACCTCTGTGACCCTTGACCTTTGACATACGTGCTCCAAAATCTAATCAGATCGTCTTCCTATGGTGATACATACTATCCTTAAGTTTGAAGTTTAAATCTCAAATGGTTCTTGAGATATCGCGCTAACAAACTCAATACAAGGAATTTCATAAGTTGACCTCTGTGACCTGTGACCTTTGACCTACGTACTCCAAAATCTAATCAGATCGTCTTCCTATGGTGATAAATACTATTCCCGAGTCTTAAGTTTAAATCTTAAATGGTTCTTGAGATATTGTGATAACGGTCAAACGGGACGGACGTACGGACGGACGTACGGACGGACGGACGGACGTACGGACGGACGGACGGACGGACGGACGGACGGACGGACGTACGGACGGACAACCCGAAAACATGATGCCTCCGGCACCACCTTCGGTGGCGGAGGCATAAAAACAGGTCAGTCTGCTTTATTATGTAAACAGAAGCTTGAGGTAGGTGTCCTGCACTGACACTGAAACTATGACTAGTAAATACATTTTGGATGTGTTATATGAATAATTCGTCATTACCAATAATCACAACAAAATTGTGTTTCACTATAACTTGTTCAACTGGTAAGTCAGCTAAGAAGTAACCTTTTTATATTTTTAGCAGACTTGACTAACATACTGGAAAAACAAGATAAATCATTTTTTAAACATGAAATGGTCCATCAGGATGTCATGAAATGGTCCATCAGGATGTCAAGAAAAGGAACAATGATCTTAGAAACATAGAAATTGAAAAAAGAATCCATCCAGACAGCCAAAGTTTTGTCCTACCTTTGTAGATTCTTCCTAGACCTCTGTAGTCCATCTGATCAGAGCAGTTGAATACAACCACATATTTGCCTAGAGCTTTGCCCATATCCTTGGTGGTCTCCGTCTTGCCTGTCCCTGCAGGACCAGCGGGTGCTCCACCCATGCTCATACCCAAGGCCTGGGCAAGTGTGATGTAACATCTGTTCGACATAAATGCACATGGATCCATTGACTGGTTAATATGGATAGAGCTACACACATTACAAACAGAAATGATACACAGTACATAAGAGTGCATATGTGTTCATTGGTGACGTTATAAGTCAAAAACTGAATGAATGAATGAAAAAGCTAGCTCTGAAAAACAAAACTCAATCCAACAATTACAATGGGTAAATGAAAGGTAGATGGGAACAACTTAAAACAACTGTTGTCATATAGTTGGAAATTGCCTTATTACGAGAGATTCATTCTTCCACAACAACATTCCTAAATTTATGTAATGTCATGTCTAACCATTGAAGACTACACAGTATATTTTCCTCATTATTCCACACAAAAATTCCTAAATTTCTGTTATGTTGTGTCTAACCTTTGAGGACTACACAATATTTCCATTACATATCCTTTCCTCCAGATAAGGGTCATAATGGCAGGGTATTATTCACCATGCCCACTGTTTATCTAAATCTTGACTTCTGATATATACCGAGTACCATTTTGAGTGCATACCTATCAGTAAGTGGAGTGATGACAAGCCTGTCTGTACAGCCCAAGAACTCATTCTGATAGCTGAAGTCAACATCGGTGATGGACACAATGCACTGGTCTGTATCCTCTTTGAAGTAGAATCGAGCCTGCTTCAACCACTCAAAGTCATTCACATTACGAATGTGCATAGCCACCTGTACAATTCATAATCACACCATAAATATTAGATGATTCTTCATAGCTCTTACATGTATTAAAATCATTTTGATAATGAAGTCAAATAAAGAGCTACCAAATTTCACAAGAACATTTTAAAACTACAAGGAAAGATCTTTATTTCCCGACTGAATAAAATGAAATGAAACAGTATGCAGATTTCAAATCAGTACTCTAGATGAGATCTTTAGTACTATTGTCAAGTTTCAAGTTGATGTAACAAAAAATTGGCATGAAATGCAAGCTGCACAAACAGAGAGTGAGCAGTCAAATTATTTTTCTCTTTGATCTCTTCGTAAGTGGTTGATTTCTTTCCAAGACCTTATCTCTCTGTAAAGTGTCTGCTAATTAGCTCATAAAGAGAAAAAATTACTGTTTCCAAGATTCCTTGTTAATAATAATAATTGCTTAGGCTTCTATAGCGCATTTCATCTTCAGAGAAATAACAATGCGCTTTACAATAATAAAACAATAAAATTACACAAAACTACTAATTCATGAACTAAAGAAATATTAAAATAAGGACAAGATTAATAATAATCTATCATTATCAACATCAATTACAGAGAAACAAAAGCAAATTATGACAAAGTACAGTAATTTAATTAAATTTTGAGGAACATATGCATTTTACGCAACAGCTCAAGCCCACAGAAAATGATTTACAAGACCAACTACTAATTCAACTAAATAAAGGCTTACCAAATCATTGAAGATATCCCTTTGATGGACATGGATGGTGACAAGAGTCTCATACTTGATCCTTTCCACCTTGGTCAGATCATGAGTGGTTTGCTGAATGAGGCAGTTGAGAAGCTCCAGGAAGTGGATATTGGTGGCAGGCATGATCTTCTTGTCGGCTCTGGCCATGCTGAGGGCTTCCTCTGCATCCCTGGTCCACAACATCTGGATACCGAGTAGACCGACCTGAGAGGTGATGGAATTCAAATTCAAAATCACATTTTATTGATTTCAATCCACATAAATAGGACCATTCTGATTGATGATAGTGAGGTGGTGGTGGTGGGGGGGGGGGGGGGGGGGGAGGGGGAGGGTCATTGAAGGAACATGTTAATTCGTCAAGGCATTACAAAAGATATGTCATATTCTAGCATCTTTATATTCAATTTGTAATTCCAAAAACGAAATATCCAGGTGACAGTCATAATCTTTATAATTAAATACCCAGGAAAATATTTCAACCTGAATATTAAAACCTAACTAGATATCACCAGTGTACATATAATTGAAATGGTATAATCTAAATGGAGGGAATGTGTGGGACATCTAATAATGTAATTATCTGATGAATTAGCAAGGATGGAGGGGTCCATCAAAATAATTGAAAAACAAGACAACAAAATTATGTTTAAATTTTCTTTTTACTGTTTCCCTGTAACATAACAAGAAGCTAAAATAGAAAATATATCACACGATACATCAATAAGAGAGAATATTGGTAGTGTTTGGGGCTCTGAGGAAACATCTATCACTTCTTACTTGAGCAATGTAGTTATTGAGGAAGGAGAGAAGCTCAAAGCTAGAGTCATTGATGACTCTGGAAGCATCTTTGATGATACCATGAAGCGATCTCATCTGAGTGTCCAGTAGCTCTCCCAACCAGGTCTCTACATTGCCCTTGGCAATCACAGGCTTGTCAAGCTTTAGTCACAAAGGGAAATGAGACACAGAATCGTTTACATTAAGTAAGACTCTAGATAAATACAACTATAGTGACACTGCTGAATCAAAAGTGAGTTAATGTCATCTGAAATCAGACTGAAACTAGATGGAACTTCGACTGCATGCAGTCGAAAATGATGCCTCCGTCATAGAGCAATTTTACAAACCAGACAGTGGTTGATCTTTGACCTCATGACCCTAAAATCTACTCAGTTCAGTGGCTCTGCAAGATATCCTGAGTTAAATAGTAGCCCCACTGTCCTACTTGTAGCTACTTGCTCCCTCTGTATAGAAAACTTCCCCATTCGGTGCCTGTTGGTCCCCCATGATCCTCTATTTCTTATGTTATTTGAGAGCTGAGTTGATGAGATAGCCACCTGTCAGTGACCTCGCTGTGTGGTCTAATCCCTCCTAGCCACACTAAGATTTCAAGATTTCAAATTTATTCATGTTTCCAACAAAACATTACAAATCAATTATAAGCATTTAAAACAAATTTAAGAAATACATGTTGGAAACAGAGGGGTCCACTAAAAAGCAATGCTTGTACAAGTGTGAACACCTCAAATGAAACTTAGGAATAATGAGTAATTAAATTAAATAATCTGTAACTACAAAAAAACAAACTACAAAATAGGGGGGAGGGAGGGGAATGCCAACAGAGACGAGAAAGGGACAAGACAATACTATACAACAAAGATAGAAGAACACGGTCATAATACAAAGAGTAGACAATGACAAAATGAAGTGAGAGATCGAGGGTACAGAAAATAATACTAAAAGATGAACTGCATGTGGGGTTGAGAAGAAGATAAGGAAAGAGAAATGCGTGTTAGAAAGGAAATAAGCATGAGAAGGAACAATATAATATATGAAATTACATCTTGAGTCAGTGAGCGGAGAATGATCTTGTATTAGGCAAAAGCAACAACGGCATATAATTCAATGAGGTGTATATGATTTTAATAAAAACAATTTCAATTTTTTCTTAAAAGTATTAATCGATGGAGCATTTTTTATTTCACCACTTAATGAATTCCAAAACTTTGGACCTTCATATATAAATGTTTTTTGAGCTGAGAGGGTCCACAAGAGAGGTAAATGAAAATCATCTGAATGTCTTGTTGGGTAATTATGAACTGAGCTATTTTTAAAAAACATTTCTTGAAAAACAGATGGCAACATATTATTATTATAATTATACTAGTGTTGATAAGCTTTAATAAAACTATAAAAATGACATTAACTTATATTTGGGAATACTTCTGCTACAGCAAGCTTAACTTATTGATTAAAGTCTTACAGAATATGTATTTTAGAACTTTCAAAATGAAAGTCAGAAATATATGATACCTTTTGCGCAGTGTTTATAGCGAAAGCAAAATGTTTGAAGATTGAAATACAGTTTCATGTGTATGTACATAAACCAATAAGTTTGAAGGCATCAGCTAATGAGGGGTCAAATTCAATGAGCCAATTAGTGCTTTTCATGATCTTGCCACTACTATTCATATGTATATGTTATTGATTTGTAAATTGTTTTTAAAGTGGAAATAAATTTAATTGAACTGAATTAATATGAAAATATACTTACAGGGATGACTTCTCCCTCTCTGGAGACACAAGACATGATGCGGTCATAGTCCTTCGCGTGGAATTCCACCTCATTCACATTCTCAAACACTCCAAGGAGATGAGCCTGAATTGAATCACAGCAAGTACAATAAACTGTAGCAACTGACATGCAAATACACTGTTTTAAAATCATTCATCACTATCAAATCTTAATTACAATGTTTCAATAATTGTCATTGTTTGAAATATCACATAAAAGTTGTTTTGCATTTATAATTCATGCATGATTACCAAATGTTACTTATTAATGTTTCACTAATTGTCATGGTTTGAAAGATCACATAAAAGTTGTGTCGCATTTAAAATTCATATATCTCATCAAGATAGCCAGTATGAAAAAATAATTATTTACCTGAATAGTGTGGGAATCACTGGCTTGTCCAAGGATTTCAAGCAGAGCTGGGTCAGACACAAAGAAGAATCTGGGAAAAACCAATCTTTTCTTCTCCAGGTAGCTGTAAATAGGAAATAAATGGAAAAAATTTAGAATTCAAACGCAATGAAAACAACTGAGGCAGCTGTCATACATGATACAGTATTTTATTAGATAAGCCCACATTGGTCGCTAGAATAAGTACTAAGACTCAGTGAAACTGGCCAACTGCATAGAAAGGCCACCTATCTAGAAGTACAGCATTTTTGTTACTGATTGATGTAAAAAGGAAATAACGTGTCCATAAAAGTCCACCTGCCCATGAAGATTGCCTAAGTTATTTCCCTAAAGCGGTCTTTATAATATTCATTTACCTGTATAAGAAAAAGATAAACATTTGCAATTAAGTACTCTGACACAATATTTCGATCCCAGAAATCACAAGTTGTACGAAATGTATAATCCTCACCCTGTGAGTGACTTCTGACATATCTCCAGCTGTTCTAGGAGATGGGGCAAAAGCTGCCCCAGGGTCTCGTCTCCAACACAGCATGTAATCACATTGTCATTCTCATGGGCTCGTATCATGATCTTCACCCAAGACTTGTCAATGTTTGAGAAACGTTTGGCTTCCTTCACAATAAAATGGCAAAAATATGGCAAATCTGATGTAATGAACAAACATGAAATCATTGCGTCTATACAAAGAAACATATGTATGATAATATCAGCACACTTTTGTAAATGAAAATACTTTTGCTCCTGAATAAACAATGGTATTAAAGCTGAAAACAGAGATTCAGTATTGGTTAAAATATGAAATATATAAATAATTGTATAAAAGGCACAAATAACTCTTTCACTCAATATTATATTCGTGTATGAACAACTCGATAAAATTAAATCACGAATGTAATAAATGCAGATTGCTGTGTTACAGGTGAATGTATTTCCTTTCATAGGATGATTGGTGAAAGATGGTTGATGAATTCCATGCAAGCCTGGGCAGACTATCTAATGCAGGCTAAACAAGAATACTAGTCCACCAATTTCTACTCATTCTGTCTGCATTCTCAGCAATTACTAGTTGTTAATATGAATGTTATATCTTATAGTGTCTTCATTAATGTATGAACCCTTACCTGAGGTAGCTGCTTGGCAATGTCTCCACCAACAAATACAGCTTCAAGGTAGACCCACAGGTTCTGTGTGGTCATCCAGTTCTCTATGATGTCAGATGAATTGGAAAGCTTCTGTACCCAAGTTTGGATTTTCTTCTTGAAAGGTGCGTTGTATCTGTTGGGTCAAAATAGATTTGAACGAATATTGATATCTTAATTTAAATACTGAAATGTATATCATTCTTAAATTAATTGTTTTGAGATAAAAAACTATTGGATTAACATCTATTGCAATTCTACGATTTTGTTAAAAAGAAAATTTGAAGAAATATATATATAAATCAAAATTTGACTAAAATAAGCATGAACTGGCCATTGACGTCCTTTCACTACTGGATAATCCCTTGCAATTTGTACAGTTGCTATCACTATATCTAAATTGAATAAGGATGTAAAGTAAAGTTAGGTATTTGTAATATCTCTAATCAACAAAACAAAGAATAGAAGGACCAAGACCATAACATCCCATGTTACATTTAAAATTTAGTTTTCTGGAGATGATTGAAATTAAAGGATTGAAAACTAAAATCAAAACAACACTTATCATTTATAGGAATTGAGGAAACAGGATTCACAACAAATAGGATGACACAATTCTTGCAAATGGGATACATGGCATACATACCTATTGCTGAGGAGTGATCCAAGGACCATAAGACTGTCCTCCATCAGTGCTACAATCTCTGAGGTCTCGGCTCCCTTCAGAAGCAGCTCTCCTCTTGCCTTGAAGTTTGAAAAGGACAGAGCTTGGTTGGTCCATTCACTGACAACTTGAGCCAGTTTAGCCTCAATGTCCTTCTCTTTGACTGCTGAGATGCAAATATCCTAAAAAATGAAAAAAAAAGAAGAAGCAGGTACATCAACCTTGGATTGGTTTGCATGATTTTACTACAGGCCTGAGATCTTTGATGGATAAAACTGACACAAACCACAAAAGGCCATCACAATAACCTTATTAAGCTTCCTCATAAATATGATTGATGTTCTAATGCTAATGGTTATTGATTTGATGAAAAGCATCAATGTAAATATCAAGAATACTATATTTATTTTAAAAAATCCTATTAGATGAATTAAGTACAGGATAAAATGTTGCTTCACTGTTTGTGCAGATTACATACATCCCAAATAACATAAATAGGTTTCTTCATGTTTTTCCAAAATTTGGAATCAACAAGTATACATTATGCAATCCATTGTCATAATACAGCCATATGTTTCCTTCTATGTTATGTTTATTTGGTTTATGTATTTGTGCGTTCCTTTATTATTGATATACTACTTTTGCAACTATAAGTTATAGAGGGCTGCAATCTACAAGCCCAGCTTTTCAGCAGTCCCCTCCATGACCAACCTGTTTTATATGTCTGTTGTACACTGTGGACCAATTACAAATATATTGTTAAGTTTCATTGTTTTACTATGTACAATGCAATCCCATGTACTTCATTTATTTTGTTGGAAATAGAAATAAACAAAAATGAAATGAAATGAAATATCATTACCTCAATATCCTCCTTGCTACGCAGCAGTGGGGCTTCCATGATGTTACGCAAACAGAAGGTATCTGAGTCAATCTCAAACTTGTGTCCGGTGACGTTGGTGATGCGCTCCCAGTGGCGATCCTTCATGGCCTTGTTTGCCATGAGTTCCAGCAGAGGACAAGTCTCGTTGAAGTCATCAATGGTCTTCTTGAGTTCAAGAAAAGCCTGCCACTCCTTGAGACCCTTTGGAAGCTTGCGGCATCTGATTGAGTTAAGTATGAATACACATCACTACAGATGAGCTCACATGTGGAGGCGAGTACAACAGAAATTTAATTCCTCTTATATGAATACAAGGAGAGAAGGGTTTGAGGAAAAGAAACAGAGATTCAATTCAATTCAATTCAATAATGGTTTTATTCAAAAACAATGCCTGGCAGCCAAAATGCAGAATTGTGCATGTTTACATATACATGAGCTTCATTACATAAAAATCATATATCATGTTTTACAACCATTCAAGCAGCATTGGTAATACTTAACATTACTCATCTGTAGCTATTTAAAATCAATCACTATATTGATACATAACTGAGAACGATGATAAGAAAGACAATTTATGGACAGTGAAAATATCAGAGTTATTGGTCAAACATGCCTATAAACATGATATTATAATTGCCGAGGTAAATTTAGGTTGAATCATAAGCTATCGGACACAAACCTGTTCTGGAAATCAATTAGCTCTTGGTTGATTGCATCGATATCCACTTCACTCCACAGGATATCATAGTAACCATTGACCCTGTCAATGACATCATTGTACAGGCCATAGAGCTTCTGCAGGAGGTTAAGTTCTTTCTTGGTCTTCATCAGGGCTGGGTAATCAGTCACAGGGAGACCAAACAGCTGCTCTCCAGCCGAATAGGTGTTGTATCTTCGCAACAGGTCATCAAATCTAGTCTGTTATTAAAGCAAAATCAATGTACAAGTTGGAACGTTGGAGGTCCTGTCTTGTTGTCCATTGGCGAATTAAAATTTTTGATGATCTTCTTTATACAGAAAACTAAAATACTGTTTGATTTATGACATTCAAAAGGGAGAACCATTTCCTAAATGTTTCGGTTTTAAATCATGGATGGTTGTGGTAGTGCAGTTTGTTTCATGTTCTGTTCGGATTGTTTAAAAAAAGGAAGTCACTGACATAAAAATTATTTTTAATAGCAAACTGTCAGTCAGAATGTTAATATTTCATATCGTTGCAAATTGTTCAAACCTACGCTAAAGATTTTAAACCTTGTAATCAAAGTGAATTACTGCAGGTTTAAATTTTTAAGATCGCATCCAACAGATAACATTGGCATTTCAGAGTATTGAAAACTTCTGCTTACCTGAAAGACTTGTAGTCTAACATTGGCTTCTCCGGGCGAGATGCCTTGCTCCATGGGTCCATTCTATGTGTAAAGACACATGTGTTTATACGCTTCATTTTAATAAAAAAGTTTCTTTACAATATGTTATATTCAGACACTATGCCCATGTCTTTTGCCTGTTGTGTCCAGAATAATATTCTCTATTAAGAGCCAGAATAACCTATATCTCTGTGTTGAAATGTGTTAGGGCCCTCCAGATTCTCAGCAGATGATATGATCAATAAAGACCTTGCCCTGACTCGTCACTGCCTCTTGCAAAATATGATTAAATCTAAATCAACATTATTTCACACCTTTGTACTTGGATCAAATTGATAACTCATTCTCCCTATCACGATGGAAATATGGACTTAAACTTTTACCACCAGTATCGAATACGAGTTGTAGTTGAGTTGAATCTGTTGACCATAAGACCACATGGGCTAAAATTGAATATTGAACCGTGAAGCTGATTCCCTAATTGTTTCTGAAGGCAGTGTAGTTATAATTAATGGTATCATGGAGGATATAAAACCCATTGTGGTTGCAACAGCACTTAGAATAAACAGAGTGAAAATGCCAAAACTAGGCGTTGTGGAGTGCGCCTGTAATCCAGCTAACAATGGAAGTTACAAACTGATTCAGCCGAGGACCCAGGTTTGAAACTGAGTCACGTCTTTCGGATGGTGACGTTTAAAGGTCGGTCCCCAGACGTAAATAATCTTATCTGATTGATACACGTCTGTAAAAACCCAATATACACACACAGCACTTTAAATAAACAGAGTGAGAATGCATGGACTGAATTGAAACAGGGCCTACCTCTTCATAGTCTGCATCAAATGAGAAATTGTCGACATGGAAGGTCTCAACAGCACTTAGAAGCTCTCCCTTGAATGTGGGCTGGATCTTCACCAGGTTAGCTTGAGCAGAAGACTTTAATAAAGAGTAATACAAAATCATTTTTTATGTTTCAAGTACAACTGGGGAGTGTTTCACAAAGACTAAGATTGACTATAAGTTGAACTTAACTATGACAGGCCGTTAATGCCACTAGTTCTTTTAACCATTCCTTGCATTGGTTTCTCAAGGGACGTATAAAATCATGGTCACAAATCTACAAAATATATATAGTTTATTATTGAAGGAAAAAATATGATCAAAAGATCATAATTGAGAGACAAATGGTGAGTGCAAATATTGGCATGAAAGGCCTGCCATGATTAAAGTCCATTTTAAAGTCGATCTTAGTCTTTGTGAAACACTCCCCTGGTATATCTAAGTTCGTTCTTCCACTATACTTCCCGATAAACTATGATTGTAACTAAAACAATAACATTCAGTTTAATTTCAGTAGCTGTCATAGTTTCTAAGCACAGTGAACTCACAGCCTGTCTGCTCAGTTTCTGGAAGGAGTATCTGAGACTATCCACTCTGTTGGCCTCTTCCCTAGGCACTGAAACCTGGAACTTCTGCAGCATGGAATATGCTTCCTGTGTAAATAAAAAGAAGGTAGAAAGAATATTAAAATAACATAAACTTAGTTTATCTTTTTCACTGAAACTACTTAGATGCTCAAGGAGACTTGTAATTATTTGACTTAACACTCAAATGCTGAAAAATAAAGTGTGTTCAACATTTTTTTCTCTCCACCAAGCGTTAGTCCTAAAATCTGCACAACAGGTGATGAAATTGTCCTTCTTTTCATGAAGTGATAAACAGCAATCATTCATTCATATCTATCACCTCACCAAAGATTAAAACACAACTGCCACTGAAAGATATTGTCAATGTTATGCCATCTGTCACCTAAAAACAGTGCTAACTGCACTTTCACATTTTCACCAAGTGCAGGCTGGGTTTCCATCACTTCACAAATTGTTCTGATTCCATCAAACATACTTTGTTTGTTTCACAAAGCTTAAAAGTTTAACAAGATTGGGATTACTACTGCTGCTCCTTTGAGGCTAACTTGATGAGAAGTCATACAAAGGGGAGTATTTTTTTTATTAATGTTCATGAACAAAAGATATTTATTGTATACCAGAGCTGCCAACCTTGTGCGACCAAAAAAAGGAATCATGATGGCAAAAAAAAGGAATTCATGAAAACGAAACTTACAACCAGGCACGACACACTTCCAATGCAGAAATGTTCATTCATCATGCTGTTTTTTTCCATACAAGCAGGTAATTTTTTTGGTGGTTATTTTGGTATTATCGGCATTTCATTTTTTTTGAGAATATTTTTCTCTTGAAATATGTTTTAAAATGAGTTTTCTATTGAATTTGTGATCAAATCACCATTTTAGGGCAGTTGTTTGACGTGCAGTATGTAAAAAAAAAAAAATAAATAAATAAAAAAAATAAAAAATTAAAAAAATTATTAAAAAACGTATTTTATGAAGAAAAAACGTAATACCGTAATTTGGAGGAAAAAACGGAGTAATTCTGGCAAAAACGGAATGGTTGGCAGCTCTGGTATACATTTCAAAGGCTAAATCCGCAAAAATTAAAACTATAATCAACCTGTTTGAAACATTGAGCCACTCCTACTACCCATCCTCTTCAACCGGCGCAGTTCTCCTTAGAATTATAAGCTCAAGAAAGATAACCTACAGTCTTTCTCAAGACTACCAACAGTCCTTTACAAGACTACACCACACACACTCAAGAAAGAAAGATTACCGACAGTCCTTTTCAGGACCCCCCAATAAGCCTACTGTTTATAACAGATGCCTTGTAGAATCCTACCTCTATTGGTCCCAAGGTCATGTCAATGCGGATGTCCTCCTGACGTATGGTTTCAAGGGCAGACATGGCAAGGCGGACATCATCAAGATCCTTGATGGGTCGACCGAGTCTCTTGGAGTAATCGCCCACAAAGTTACTGACCTCGTCCATCTTGGCACAGTACTCCTTGTTGAGGCTGCGTCCAAGCAGCAACTTCCATGCACACGCTTCCACCGTGAGAGACGTGCGTATTGGTTCTGAAGGTATGAATGATTAGCCAAGGCATAGATACCATAGGAAATTGCATTTCAAGCTGTAATAAGGAGTGTAAAAGAATGTCCCCATGGTTCGAGACAAAATAGCCGCACATGTAAGACATGAACAATTTTTAGTAGATGATGACAGGGCATTTACCCTACTGAGAGAACTCAGATCTCTTAATTACCAACTAAGAATACTGCATAGGATCCTAATTTATTTAGGAAGCCACTACACATCTTCATGCCCATACAGTTTTTGGAACTCACAGGCAACGCTGCCCGCGACAACAAGAAAACAATTTGTTGCCCAAAATTTTAATCTACTAAGGATCTATAGTAGATGTGAACAAATTATCTCACTTGTTCTAGCTGAAAAAATGAGCCATAACAAAAGCTCTTCGAATAAAGATAGAAGCCATTGAAACTACACAACTTCATTTCCACACTTATATGATGCATGGGATCTCAAATTTAATAGGATCTACAGTAGATATGAACACAGTATCTCACCTATTTTGGGTCAGAACAATTAATAGGCAATGACAAAAGCCTCACTAGCTTTCCATAGCACCCAAATGTTAGACTGTGCAGTGCATGCTATGGCAACAATTTTTTCAACATCAATACCCATACCAACTAAATTCCTAGCTTCAATCCTGGACCCAATACTATTTCTAAAACCTAACACTAATCATGGAAATAAGTTAAAACCCATCGCAAACCTCACCTTACCCTATACTGTAAACAAACAAAAAAGCATAGGGCAAGTGCTGCTAGATTAAATGTCAAATCACCACCTGTAATGCATATAGTCCTAACACATCTGGAGTAGATGTGAAAATGGTCTCAAACAAGCAGATTCACAACAAAAGAAGCCTCCCCAAGTTTTCAAGCAAACGCACACACTGATAATACTTAAAGAAAACAATTAAAACACAAACAAAATAATCTCCATATGTTTTCATGCGTACATAGCTCTCCTGCCTAAGATGAAAACGTAAAAAAAAGGTTGTCTTACCTGTGTAGAGTCGAATGGCACCAACCTCTATTGTGTGGCTGATCTCCTCAATCTGAGATTCTAGTTCCTGATAACTCAGAATCTCTTGCTTCCATTCAGACAGGATTGGTTCCGTCTTTATGAAATTCTGAACATACAAAAGGGAGAAAATTACGACCAATAATTTGTCCACTTACGGTAATTATGCATTTGCTCCTGCGACTGTTGCTCCAGGCTTTATTTCATCAACAATGTAGGGTTAAGGCGAAGGTTAGGTATAGTATTGGGTGCTGCTAAAAAGTGAAATATTTTGGCAAGTGTATGAATTGACTGCCAATCAATTGTCGCAGGAGCATGGAGCATGTGTTGTACAACCCCACTTAAATGTGTCTTATCAAAATCAATACAAATATTTTTTTTGGTCTCGTTGATGAATGGTTTGTGACAACAACTGCACCATCAACAAAGTATGTGTTTTTACACATTCATGCAAACATTCATTGTTAAATAGTATGTAGGTAGGTACTGACAATTTTCTTTTGTTAGTCAATATTTCCAATATGGTTTACATGAAATCTGTAGTCATTTTTGAAAGTCTGCTTTCTGTATCTCTTATCACATGATCTTGTTTGTACAATAAAAATACCTTGACGCTCTCCTCCCTGTCTCCCTCCCACAGGTATTGATAGCCAGAGAAGATGACCAGAGCTTCTTGAATCTTGGGCTTGGATTGACCAATGGCATTGCTCAGCATCATCTGCAGCTTCTGGATGTCTTTGTGGTCAGCGATACTTTTGTAGTAGTTCTTCAGCTTCTGGGGCGGGATGACCTCCACATGTGGGGCTATTTCAAGGTAAAGAAGATGAGATGTCTGTTTGATTAGCTCATTCAGGGTTATCGCTTTTTTGTGGTATCTATATGATCTGTAATTCTGTATTGACATGCAAACAAAATAAATTTCCAATAATTGGACAATTACAATTTTGTTTGAATATGTGCAACTAAGTCTTAAAACATGTTTTTCTCAAACTCTGCTACGATCAAATGAACTTATTTCCATTCTTGCCTGATAAAGTAAAGATTGCAATGTCACAAATCAATCCTTGCATTAACTTCAAATTAAATCATATCACAATAATTAAACTAGCCTTCAAATACATACATTTCTTTATCTTTCTTTTTCCTCTTTATCTAAGAGGGAGGTATCTTGGAAAAAGACTTTATGACAATATGAATTGAATAGAGTTACTCTCTCCAAATGGCGACAAAGCAATAATAAGTGCACATGGGTGAAGCGGGATCTCAGTAAGTCCCTTCAAGAGACTCACAAAGTAAAATCGTTATCATAAGTTTAAGATTTCCTTTCAAAACATAAAGAAACTTTATAAGCTTTAAGATCTTTTTACCTGAATGAGCTCCATGTCGGTGTTTGCCAGGTTCCTCAAATGTGACTGCTGGCTCATTAGGTCTAGTTCTACTCTGACCCCACTGGGCTACACCGCGGCTAACCTCAAGCACACAAGTTGTAGCTTTGTTCAGAGCTTGCTGGATATCCTCCAGATTCGGTTGCAGAACCTTCAAGGAGAAGGGTATTAAATCAAATCTTTCTGCATGCAAATTTCTTGTCTTTGAATAAAAACAATTTGAATCTTATAACTGCATAAATTCATCATAATCCTTTTCATTTTACTGCATTATTTGATTAGGTATGACTCTTTTAAGTCAAATAATGTTTAAGTTTGAACTTGTACTTATAATTAAATGAGTTACTAATTCAGGTACTACTCTTTCATTACTATATTGTTAAATACCTTTGATTTGCACTCAGTTACTACTCTTTGCATTTATAATACCTGTTATGAATGTTATACAACTTTTAACATACTGATAATAATCAAAACCTCGTTCTACATGTAAACCTCTATCCTTAAAGGTAAAGACCAGTATTGGAAACGCCCTAATTTCAAAAAATGAAATGGAAGCTCTCATTATCAATCATGTGAAAGAATATGTTTTGACTAATACATGATGATAAAAAATTTGCCGGGAAACCGCCTACTAATTCATATATTTGGTAAATTTGTTTCTCTCATGGTCTGTGAGAGATATAGGGTAGTCCCATATACATCTTTATGTGTATAGTGCTTGTAACTTTACGAAGAATGGGCCAAATTTCTTATCATTTTGATGATTCCAGAACCTTGCAGATGCTAGATGCTAGATGATCAACCTTTTCTGATTGATTCCACAACGTTTCTTTCACAATGCAATCGCATGACCATAACTGGTCTTTACCTTTAAATAAATACATACAAATGTGAAGGAATGAAATCATGGATCCAATCAAAACTTAGATTAACATACCACGTTTGGAATCGCCAGAGCCACACTGACTTTGAAGAATGCTTCCCTTGTCCTCCTCGTAGCTTTCCTTCCATAGGAACCTCCTCTTCCTATGGGTCTGGAAGAACAAATAACATGACAATATTGAACTCTGAAGAAATCAGTTTTAATGAAATCAACTAATCTTTGGTTTTATTACCGTACTTTGCTAAAAGGCTACATTTAATCAATCAATAAGCACTATTAACTCATAGCCTGCCATGTGGCTGCATGCACGCTATCGTTATAGTGCTGTGTTCATGCGAGCAAACCACTGCTATGGTGCCATGTGAATGCATGCACACTTTTGTAGTAGCAGTTATTGTTCATGCTCATTGTAGTGTGCTGTACTGTGTTTTGCACGCGCTATTCATAGAACCATCGCGTTAATCAGATTATCTCAATATAAACTTGGCACTGAGGGATTTGGGGCTTGGCACAATGGGGATTATCCCTGTGGCATGATAAGAGTTAAAGACATGCATTGTATAGAGATTGCAATAACAATGTTACATTAATGTCTACGTAAGGAAATCAAACATACAATTTAGTAGAGAAACGTGCAAAGCTGAACAAGTTTATCGGAAATTCTTTAGAGAAACCATTTTTCTGTGTTTGCATAATTAGCCCATACATAAATTCAATGTCTTATTGTGAAAGCAATAAGTTATCATATATTACAATATTTAGTTCCTCCATAATGTGCTAGTTCCTCCGTAATGTGCACAAAGCATAGTAGGAAAGAGAAATGAAAACATTCTGACGATTCAACAGATGCTGTACAAGGACTCAATCCTTACGTGGAGAAAAAGACTCTCTTCTTGATGGAGTCCAGGGCATTCCTTGTAGCCTTGAGTAATGCTTCCAGGATGCGATGGTTGAAGTGGAGCACTAGCTCCTGGCACTCCTCCTGCAGGAGCTGTTCCTCCTCAATGCTTTCTGTTGTAGCAAAGCTCATCTCTGACTCTGAACCTTCAGTAGTGTCTGTGTCATAAAGTGTTGGTATATTGTTATTTATCTACATGTAAGAATTTGGCAAGCTTTGACACTAAAGACCACTGCACACCTTAGCAAAGCTCATCTCAGACTCGGATACTTCAGTAGTGTCTGTGTCATAAAGTGTTGGTATAGTGTTATTTATCTACATGTATGATTTGGCAAACTTCGACACTTAACACCACTGCACAACTTATGAATGACTTGCAATATCATTTTGTGCATGATTACTTGATATATATATCAAGGGTATTCTTTCTCACTGTGATAAAAGCTCAGATTATATCTGAGATAAAATGAATTTCAGATTAACGCCACAGGACTTTTCTCCAAATTCATGATTTTTTAATCAGGAAAGCATTAAGGCTCTTAAAGATAAAGTTGAGTTCTGGTCATGCGATTGCACTGTAAAAGAAATGGTGTGGAATTGATCAGAAAAGGTTGCTTATCTAGCATATAAGTATTGGTATGTACTGCAAGGTCGTGGAGTCATCAAAATGATAAGAAATTGGCCCAGTCTTGGTAAAGTTACAAGCACTGTACACAGAAAGATATTTATGGGACTACACGAACATGTGGCATAAAAATCTGTCCCGATTTTTATGATGTTACATGCCATACTAAGGCATTTGAAGAGCCATGCTATTCAGGGAACATTTTTTATCTGATGTTCTTCCACACTTGCATAATACAATGATAATGCTCACAAATTATTTCTCACCTCTTCCCAGCACTCAACCTTCTCTTTAATAAAGAAAATTTTACTCATAATACTGCAATATCTTCCAAGATCAGATTGTACAGATTAGGCCATTAGCTTCTCCTCCATGAGATCCTACAGATGTCCCTCCCTTATGGCATTGAAATGTAAATTTTATCAAATGTGAAAGATTTCCTTTTTACCTTCACCTCCTTCCACAGTATCGTCTCGGTCATTGGTGCCGGTCTTAGAGGAGAAGGATAATCTGTGTGCTTGTTCTATGAAGATCTCCACCAGCTCTGTGACAGCCTCCTCCACTCGCATGCTGACCTTGTCCAACACTAGTGCCCTCTGCTCACAGGCAGACTGGATTTAGAAAAGGGTATGACACTCCACTACATCATATAATACAATAAGCTATTCTAACAGTTGTCACAAGGGGCACCGGTTCACAAGATCTCTATCTTCTTTGGTTGCCACTAACGATATGTTAACCGTATATATGATTATGTCAACGTGTTCTATTGTATTGTACATTTACTATTTTAATATCATTGAATTGAATTGAATTGAATTGAGGGTTAATGACATAAAGTTACAAAGGCTTGTACAATGACAGTTAAAATATTGATCATAAATCACAGTTAAAATTTTCTGTTTAATTTAATATCTCACACTAGTATTCTTTTCTAAAAATTGTTTCACCATTACTTTACCTTATTTTGATGATGATGATTCACAGCATTTATTTGCATAGTTATATCAAAATCATTTTTTCTTGCTCCCTCCAGAATTCTTGTTAGCTCTGTATCTTATTTTCTTTACCTCAAACTAATTTGTTCTTTCTTACCTGTGTTTTAGAGATAAAGTCCTCTGCTGTCCATGGTTCTGCAGAAGGCAACTCAACGAGGGAAGTGTTGGCAATGGTATTCAGACAAGAATCAATGCGAGATTCTCGAATGTCATTCACCTAATTATAACAAAATAGAGAGTGTAAAGTGATACCTGTCAACAACTGCTTTCTAGATCCACTGCAGAGTAAATAAGCATATATCTTTTATACACAAATTATTTGATACAATGAATTTATGTTATTATGGTTTTCATAAGATTCTTGTTGTGCTTTTGGGGTGTCACCTTTACATCAAAATGCACAATTCTCTTTCTCTAAAATCCCCTCTCCCAAAAACAACAAAAACAAATGTATAAATTGAAGAAAAAAACACCCCAAATTCCACCTTTTCATCAATATCACTAGCAAATAGGTCAATATTTGACAAAAATTTATTACACCAAATAGATTTAATCTATTCCTTATGAAATTTGTGCTTTCTCACTTTCAAAACAAACAAATCCATTTGCATTCACTTAAAGAAAATGATTGACATGAAGACCAAAGAAATCATGAGCATATATCCTATCCGAATCCTTACTTGTTTGATCAGCAGAAAGAGGCTTCTCAGAGTTTCCTTGATGCTGTTAAAGTAGGCATCAAGGTTAAGTGAGGTCCAGGAAAGCATGGTCAGTCCTGGCTGGATCGCAATGTCCACTTTCTTGGTGTGAGGTGACATGAGTTGCTGGAAAATGGAGCTTATGTTGGCCCTCACTGCTGCATTCTCTTCAAGGATAGCCTTCAAGTACAATGTGTTGACAACAACAGTAACATAATCAAGTAGATAAAGCAAATGTTTTCTTTTGTTTAGTCTTATGATACACAAATTATGATGAAACAATATCCTCTACAATTCAATGATTTTATCTACCATAATCGAAAATAGAAATTTCATGCTCAAGAAAACGATTTCTCTTAACATCTTGCTATTCATTGTAAATTGGATCTGAATATTCGGCTAATATGCCTCTACTTTCAGTAAGAAACAAACTTTTTCCCAATAGAGTTTAGTCCTTCGAAGGACTGTTGACTCACTCTATCTTCTCATTTATGATAGATTCAGTTTAACAAAAGCCTGAAAAGAATGGCTTCATCTCTGACAGAAATGGCTCAATTTATGCAAAAGTTTGACTCATTCATTAGTAGAAATGATAATAACCTTCAGAGAGTTGACATTGTCCTTCAGTTGATCCTGGCCCATGACAATGACAAGAGCTGCCTCAGGCACGTCCAATCCCAGCTTGACCATGCAGACCGATTCCCGGATGATCTGGTAGAGCAGTGGGTCAAAGTTGACCATCAACTGACCAGTCTCCGGGTGCCTGATCAATAATGTTGCCCTTAATCCTGAAAGAATTTAATAAGAAAAAGATGTTTCAGTTAAAAAATATATAAGCTTAGTACTAGCTTGGTTTTTACTTGCACTGCATGGACTTAGCATATTTTACTGTAAATTAACAAGTGCTTTGTCCATACACCATTCTAGCAATTACATTACACTCCTTGTAGTTACTTGCCTCACCTACCATCCCAGTATAGCTTTCCGAGTGAGCTGCCAAAGGAATTATCCAACCAAGTACCAAATATTTCTATCATGGACTATATGTTATACTGGCACTGTGATTAACAAGCTAAAGACTCTAAGAGCAGTCTGAAGTCTATTTTGATAAAGCCTCCCTTTCAATAACTGTAACATTATATATGTATGCATTTATATAGCTGCTCCTGTCTTATTTTCAGTTCTCTTACTTCATACATTTGTCCTAATATCAATATCTAGTTTATTAAGCACTTTGGACAAGTGACAGACAGCATTTTGTATGAAATGCAAAACGTGTATGATTCTTTCAAGTTTCTTTCATAGAACCAATCCTCTCTCCCACCCCCATATTTAAACGACTACAGAGTTACAAGTACACATGTTGGATATGTGATCAAGTAGTTATTGCTTAGGCCTTGTATTGTAAATGGTTTTGGTAGAGATCGCAGGAGTACGTACCTGATTTGACAGCCTCTATTTGCTCAATCCAAGCCCTGTGGTAGCGGATCTCAAACTCCATCAGGACAGTCGCAGTACGATTGTAGTTGCGAACAATCTTCTTTGCCTCTACACCTTTCATCGCTGATGGAACCTCCTAAATATGTATGGAAAAAGGAAAAAAAAGAAGAAGATATTTCATGTCTGTCTTAGTGCTAACAAAAGTGAGTAAGCATGTTAATTTCAAACCTCTCAACCACTTCAAAGAATTTGAACATCTTTTTAAACAAAACAAATTAACCTTTCATTTTGCAGTTCCATCTTCTCTTTACCACTTCCACCACAGTTTCTTCCAGGCCCAACTTTTAAATGAGCTCGGTTGTGTTCTTTCTATCAGAAAATGTTATATCACACATCTTTTGTATCACAGCTCTTTCTGTTCTCCTCAGGATAATTCATTCTACCGTCTTCATTTTACACATTAATAAAAAAAAGCAAAATATAACAGAAAGGAAAAATCTCTAATTAGATCATTTTTAAAACAAAAATGTGTACCTTGATAATATCCATAGGTTCCTCGATCTTTCGAAAGAGCTGCCTGGCCCAGGATATCTTACCAGCTACAGGAGGCATGTCTCTAGGGATGGGCGGGTCATCTTTCTGCTTGTTGTACAACTGGAATGGGACACAAGAATATGCATCATTTGAATAAGTTTATGTGATTCAACATAGCGTATGGACAGAAATATAGCTGAAACGAATGCACAAGATCTTCTTAAAAATAAACAAGCTTCACTGGTTTTGGAATTTGTAAATTTTGCCATGAAAAAGGCTGGGAATAATGGACTCTTTCTCCAACAGAATTTTGGTCATGTATACATCATTCATCTTTTTATTAGGAAGTGGTTGGTTATATTTAACAACATTGAAGAATTACAAAAATTGTTAAAATATTGATACCTTCTTGATTCCTTCAATTTCTGAACCAAAGTGATGCAAGACAACACCGTACTTCTCATCTATGTTCAGACAAGGGAAGTTCAACCGTTGAAATCTGACAAGAAAAGTTTTTAGAGTACAGTGTATCAACAACAAGAAAAGAAATTACGAGTACGCCTCACTAGTTGCAAGAGGAATAAAAGAGATAAAAACATATATAGAGAATATCCATAGATAGATAACGAGATAGCTTCAAGATAAATGATTAACATGGAACAAAATCAACACAGGAATATAGGTGTATACCGGTACAGACTGGCCAACACATTGGATTTCTTTGTAAGATCAAAGATTATTTGTCAAAATCATTTACATGTATCATAGAATCATACTGAAAGTGCAGATTATACATGACAGTTAGGATCTGCACAGAAGATCATATAATCTGAAACAAATGAAAGTTCGCTCATCAAACCTACAATATAATGATCAACCCACAAAACTTGTTACCTTCCAAGAAGTCTAAGAGCTTGGGCAGCTGTTGGGATTCTCTCAAAGGATGTGTCTAGGAAGCTTTGCAGCATGTACTGCAAATACAACAATGCATGAATACATCATTTCTAAAAACAGAATAAGTACAATAACAAGTACAAGAAACGTATAAGTATTTGAAAATCATTAGCCAAATATGATTGTAAATATTGTCTTAAAAGTTATGTTCATGTATATATCCATACCATGAATCTTGAGCGTTCATATCATGCAAAATATTTTCCTTCAGATACAGAACATTACTGGCATCAATCACTGACCCACCTCAAGATCATAAATAGAGCTCTTGAAGTCCTCAAAGTCTGTATCAAAGTCTATCTTGCGGTGGTCCAGGATGTCATAGGGCTTCTTCTTCACAATGGCAAAGATGGTCTGAAACTTGGTGCACATGGGCTCAATGCCTTCAATGCGGGATGTGGTCAGCACAGAGTAGGTTTCTATGGTGGTCAGCATCTGGATGATCTGTAACAATGTCAACCACATTGCAGAGAAATTTGACATTCATAACATCAAATGCATTAAACATGTATACAAATCACTGCTGCTTCTCATGCAAGTATATGTAAAGAGAAAGGGAGGGAGGGCAGAAAAGAAAATCTCTCAAAAGAAATAGTTGACTAACATTGGTATTTCTGATATTCTTGCAGACAAAACTGATTAATTTAACTTTTCTTTACACAGGTTATAGCAAATTGAATCATGCAACAAATGCAAATTAAATGCAAGATGCAACCACTTAGAGATTTACATGAAATTGTTTGTGCCAACGATAGAAGGAAGAGAGAGAATAAAGCACAGGTTTCTGGACCTGTACAGTGCTGTACCTTGTCTATGCGCTTGCAGAAGGCGTCAAACTTGCCAAAGATGTACATCTCTGAGAAGTCAAAAGGTTTCTCCTCTGGAATCGCTTCAATCTTCTTCTTGGCCTTGTGGAAACAGATCTGGTATTCCTTGTAGAGCTTGACAGAGACTTGTAGTTTGTCTATCAATGTCTTGTAGGACTGATCCCATATGCGTGACATACCATAGTCAGTGATGTAGTTCTTGCATGCGGTCACCATTTGGTTAGTTACCTGCAAAAAGCATGGCGAAATGATATCAATCCTGTTTCATTGAGCTTTAGTTTAAAGAAGGTCTTTCGCATAATGATAATGATAAAATAAAAAAATCTAGAGTATACATTATGATTGGTTCCATTTAAAGCCCCACTGCACTACTTACAGCTACTTGTGCCCTCTACATGTATATACCAAACATTGCCTAATCAATGACGGTTGGTCCCCCATGTCTTATGTTAATTGAGAGCTGATTTGATGAGATAACCACCTGTCAATGACCATGCAGGGAGGTCTAATCCCTCCTGGCCAAACTAGTACAGATAGGCTTTAACTAAAAGCATCCCAGAGAATTAATATATAAACGAAAGGCAATAAATCTGTATATAATGATTTAATATACATAATGCTAGGAACTACTTTTGCTCTTCTGGAATAGGATAGGGTCTCTTACCTTGATGAAGAGGGATGTCATGCGAGCAGAGGTGTTGTAGTAGCGAGAGATGCTATGGATCATTCTAATAGCATTGATGAGACTGGGTATGCATTCCACCATTCCAATCTATAGTTGTAGATTTAAAGAAACAATTAATATTGATAGCATTCCTGAAAAAATCTTGAATCGCCCCCTTTTTTACGTGTTCTATGTGATCTGCGTATATTACAAATTGAACAAATTTTGTTGTAATATATGTATCCATGAACAATATTTTTTCTTCATTTTGGTGAACAGATATATATGCATCAAAATATTATATTTGGTGTCATTTTAATTACAAATTATCTTGGAGAAGAGTAACCATGAGATATTTACCAGAAGATATAACCAGAAGTATTTTTTATATCACTAGATATCTTCTTCATGATTTAAAAGCATCCACACTGTAAATTTAAGAGATCCATTATTGATTTTTCTTCCTTTTCTTGATTAAAATATAGAGAAGAGCAAATGAATAAATTACACAAATTCATTTGAATAAGAAGTATGATATTGTATCTTATAATAATTACCGGATCAGAATGATAGAGGGGCTCACAGAACTTCTCTAGGGTGTAGAGATACTTCACATTGTCCTTGGCTTCATTAGCTGCATCAGTAATGCGACAGTCAAGTTCTCGCCATTGCTGCATGAAAGAAATGGTATAAACATCACTTCAAAATTCATAATTGTAATATCTCTCAAGATAACACCTTGGGAGATTTTTTCTGTTGCTTCAATTAAGTTGTATTTTCCCATGAAATTGTATCCACAAGCCTTCCATTATTACAATGACCAGTGAGTGTTAACCTATATTATGTTCATATCTAAGTATGATAACACCTTAAATCCCCACTGCACTTGTAGCTACTTGCGCCCTCTATATAGCAAACAATGCCTAATCGGTGCCTGTTGGTTCCCCATGATCCCCTTTTTCTTATGTTATTTGAGAGCTGATTTGATAAGATAACCACCTGTCAGTGACCTTGCAGGAAGGTCTTATCCCCCCTGGCCAAACTAGTACAGACAGGCTTAAAGGGAATCAATCATTGTAATTGAACACGTTAACTAGATAACAGCGCAGATCAATAGTTTTGAAATTCACCTGCCCATGTCATCAAATGTTAGAGAATGAATCCCGAATCAAAACAATCAGCCGAAAATCAATGTTAATCTTTAACTACGCAATGTAAGGTTATGAAAAAAAGTGCTGTAAGTCTGCAACCCAAGTCCTTTAGTAACAAAGAAGAAATTATGTGGACTTGCATTTAAGGTTCAGTCAAGTGCAGAATTTCTCTCAGTATATTACATTCCATTGCAAAATGAGCTGGATCTCATGTTAAAATGGAATACATTATGTCATAAATAGGAATATTATTGTAACAACCTTGAGAGTCTTGCTCTTGGCAGCATGGAGAACCTTAATGACAGTCCTACAATGGTGGCTCTTGACCTGATCCAAGATGGAATGGAAGCGAGACATCAGGAATCGCCAGTGCTCTAGCTCAGCTAACGGACCAGTATCATCTGCCTCCTTCCGCATCTGTTCACTCTCAGCTATCACCTATCATGTAGAGTAGCATGAAAAACAAAAACAAACAAAGAAAAAAGTTTGATGTTCTTAATCAATCTTTCCTGTTTATATTGTTAAGATTAAAAAGTTATTAAATTGGTCGTTCTATTCACATTATGAAATTAACATCTTTGAACTTATAATTAGATTAGGGGCCTATCTGTTTTTGGAAAATTGCCCCTTGCTCTGGTAAATTCCCGTGGGCAAGGGGCAACTTAAAAAAAAAAAATGCCCCTTGCTCCTGGCTGCTTAATCTAAGGCTTGCGGGCCGCCGCCTTGTTTTTATGTACCGTAGACCTCTATACATTCTGTGAAGAAGCTGGTGCTAAAAGTCATAGGAAATTGATCCCGCACAAGTTTCTTAAAATACACATGACATCTAACAAAAATAGAATCAATTTTTTTGGCCTCGATGCCCTTTTTGTAAAAATATTTTGGCCTTGGTGCCCTTAAAAATATGAGGTACTCTAAGGCCAAACTGGCCTTGCCCTAAAAATGATGAAATTTAAGGCCTGATACTGCTATTAAATACATGCATATTTTCTAGAGAGACCACAGAGATGTGTATAAGGAGAAATTGATTACATATTGATTGGGATACAGAAGGGATCGCTGAAAAAACAGTACCTGTTCAATCTCTTTGCACCATGCATGAACTAGATTCTCAAATGCTTCCACTATCTCTGGATTAGTGGAAGCTCCCATGCAATCGGCAGCTGTTTGGATATGGTCTATCTCAACTTCTTCACCAGGACACAGCTTGACTGCTCCAGTAACATCAATTTGGGCACCTGAAAATGATTTTTTTTTTTTCAACAATGAGCTTCATTTTGTAAAAATCACTACATTTGAGTGGTTATGAATTGAAATTTGAAAGTGTCCTCTTATAACCTAGGCATACAAACTTACTGGTATTCCTTTGTTAAATATCTTCCTCTCTGAAAAACTAGTATTTAACTAGATGGAAACTTCAACTGCGCGCAGTCGAAAATGATGCCTCCCTCATAGAGCAATTTTACAAACCAAAACAGAAGAAATTTTCAAATTCAAGTTCAATTGTAATCCATTAACAGGTTCTCAGAATATCGTGATAACAAGCAATTTCGCATATACATATATGACCCTTTGATCTTTGACCTCATGACCCTAAAATCTACTCAGTTCATTGGCTCTGCAAGATGTCCCGAGTTAAATAGTAATCCATCTGTCAGTTCTAATGAGAATGCGTTCACAAGCTATTTTTGCATACATAATGAGCCCATGACCTTTGACCTTTGACCTCATGACCCAAGAATCTACTCAGTTCATTATCTTTGCAAGATACATACATGATCTAAGTTTGGCAGGAATCCATCAATCTGTTCTAATGATAATGCGATCACAGGCTATTTTTGCATACATAATGAGCCGCATGACCTTTTGCCTTGACCTCATGACCCCAAAATCTAAAAAATTTATCGGCTCTGCAAGTAACATACATGACCAAAGTTTGGCAGAAATCCATCAATCGGTTCTTGAGATAACGCGATCACGAGCTGTTTTTGCATACATAATGAGCCATGTGACCTTTGACCTCGTGACCCCAAAGTCTACTCAGTTCATCGGCTCTGCAAGATACATACCTGACCAAAGTTTGGCAGGAATCCATCAATCAGTTCTTCAGATAACGCGATCACGAGCTGTTTTTGCATACATAATGAGCCCTGTGACCTTTGACCTCGTGACCCCAAAATCTAATCAGTTCATCGGCTCTGCAAGATACATACATGACCAAAGTTTGGCAAGAATTCATCCATCAGTTCTTCAGATAACGCGATCACGAGAACGGGACGTACGGACGGACGGACAACCCGAAAACATAATGCCTCCGGATACTTCGTAACGGAGGCATAAAAATACATTTCAAATTTATGTTATTGTCTCATATAAAATGATGCTAACTTTATTACTCTCCTTTTACCAGTAGTTTGTGATGTGATTACGATGCATGCATTCTGGACAATTGTCATTGATAGTTATTTGAAACACCACGACTTTGTCATATTTTCAATGTGACCGATGTAGTGAATTTGATGTCCCATCACAAGAAAACACAAATTACTGGTCAAAGCTTCACACATTTTATCAACTTTATAGGTAAAGCTTCACAAATTATAACATTTTTAAATGTATTGACCTGAAGCTTCCTCATTTACCAAACCTCTGAGGAGCGCAGGTTCAGGCTTCAAATTGACGCCTGCATATTAAAGGGTAATTCAGTAGTCAACAGTTGGGGTCTTACACTTCTTGATGAAAAAAGTAAGGTAAAAATGTCAGGCAGAGGAATTAAAGACTACAGATTCTGTCTACAAGATAAAACAGGCATACGGTACCATCTAGAAAGTGTATGAAGTTCTCATAGGAGTCACAGAAGTTTTTCTTGGTCTTCTTTCCATGTGGTGTTTCACTGAGGTCTCCCCAGCTTTCGAGTGCATTCAGGGCTGGTCTGAAGACAGTGTTTAGGGCTTCTTTAGCAGCAGGAAGGACAGTCAGTTTCCCTGCCTGTTTGGTGTCCAGTGCCCCAAAGTTGACTTCCTGTAAGTCAGACATTGGACCAACACAATATATATATATTTAAATGCATTTGTCACTGAAGAAATGCAATATACATGTAGGCATTGTATTACTGTAAGCTTTGATGTTTATAAATCATTTGTATTTTAGGAAATGTTGTTCTTTCTTGCTCTGTTCTAATAGCAATATTCAAGTTCTAACACAACTTGCTTCATTCACAGCCTGGTTTTAATTCTGCCTTTCATTTTCTATGGTGTGTACATGTAACTTGTTGATAGACTTTATATGTCCACAAAAACAAATAAAAAAATAAAAAGGTACACCGTCCAACAATATATGGTCTGAAATAACAAATGAACTTAGATTGAATCCATGGTCTAAATTATCGAGCTCCACCACGGACTTTAGGAACCATAAATAAATGTTTATGATGAGAATGTTCTTGCACACAATATGACATGACATAAGGACACATGCATAGAGAATTACACCATGGGTTTAAAAAAACTTCTTTCGCGTCTTTGGGCCTATGAGTCTAAAATCTAATATCCCATGCAGTAGACCGACAGCCCACAAAACTGACAAGGTTGGTCTAGTAATCCTTTAAAACAGTTGTTAGAAGGTCCATGGGACTGACATTGTTGGTCCTCTCGGCTGTCAGTGTTGTAGGCCATAGGTAAATAGTTCTTTTTCATCAATTCATTCATTATTATTATTATTATTATAGTTTTATTTAAACAGTGTGGTATTATTTCAAGTCCATTTCTGGACCTGCTCTCCCAGAGAGCCCTGCATTCACATAAAAACATGTACAATAAAAACATGAATTCAAAACATACATACAAAGATAAAATATACATGGCATATACAATAATTCAATTCAAATTGATATCTATAAGAGAAAGGAAACCAAAGAAAGATTAAACATAGGTAACATAAAAACACATACGTCATGGACATTCTTGATTGTGAGTGCTTGCGTAGTTGTGCGCAGAAAGTACATGCATTTCCCGGTGAGACCTTCCTCTCTGCCACTGGTGATGAACAGGCGCTGCATCTTGGATCCCTTAGGTATCGATACGATACGTCCAGATTCTGGATGCAAATAGAAAGATTCAGACAGAGAGATCGCTGATAGCCGGAGAGCAAATGATTTTGCATATGATCTAGAGTTGACAGTATTCTGAAATATATTGCTTTTAATAACAGAATGATGAACAATTCATTTCTTATTCAAACATTGTATCTTTATATTGTAAACTCTTGGCCAAGTTGTTAGCATGTTTTGCTTCCAGTTCTATAGAAAAGTTGTGCAAGGAAAATTCAGAATCTTCAAAGGCTTTAAGCTGAATTGATAGGTAAATTGTAGAGTAAAATAATTAAATTACATTATATTATTTGTGCAATGGCATTTATAAACATCCACCAATTAAACAGATGTGAGATACCTCTAATCAACAAAGAAATATATTCATCCTTCCATTACAATGTGATATTGGACCTACCATGCCCAGGAGGATCAGAATCTTGTAGAAAGAACATCAGGCCCTTGGAACCATCAGCTTCAAGGAAACCATCCATTAGGTTTACTTGCTGAAAAAAGATGGAATGTTACAGAAATTAGATTAATTTCACTGTAACACCATTACACATCATTTGTTGATCCATTTAAAATAAATTCTTCCACATTTTCAAATAAGAAATTACTTAATTAAAAAATAAAAAATAAACTACTGTAATCACAACTGCAATGAAATAATATTTTCACAGAAAACTATGCCCTAAGTCATTGGCAAGTTCTGGCCGTCATCTCTGACGAGCAAAATAAATTTACCCATCATGATCCTCTTTTTAAAAATTCATTGTGGTCACATATAAATATTGTAGGACCTCAATACAAATTTTTTTTTTTAATTAACAATTAAATCAACAAAGACCAACATGGTTCACATACTGACTTGGTCTCTTTACTTAAATTTTGATGAATTTACCTCAGAAGAATCCAAGATGAATTCCTCCACAGAAGCTAGATCCATATCAAGGTAACTAGCTACGATGTCAAGCAAATATTTGTGAGTGGAAGATATCCTGGTTCTGCGCATTTCTCTAGCCTCTCTGGCTCGTGCCTACAAGAAAATGAAAAATTTTGACAGAATGATTATATTCTGTGTATACTTAATCAGACGAGACCTAACATTGTGCTTGACCTAGACATGTAGGCCCGAATTCACAAAGAAGGTTTGTTGACAAACCTAGGTTTATGAGCGTCATTTGACGCGTTTTTACAATTCGACACATATTTACAAACCTAGGTCTAGGTTTGTAAAAACGCTTAAAAACGTGTCATATGACGCACAAAAACCTAGGTTTGTCAACAAACCTCCTTTGTGAATTCGGGCAGTAGGGTTTTAGATCCAGATTTAAAATGTACATCTAGCTCTACATCTAGCCCCTGTAAGCATATCAGATAATTACAATCAGCACTGGAACAAAATGTGACAACAAATATGGCATCATCCAAATAAAAGTCTACACTTCACATATATTTACACACTGAAAAAAGTGAAAGGGTTTGATCTCAACTTCACAATCACATGGACTAGTCTAGATCTAGGCCTAGACTATCTAGGTCTAGACTACTGCCTATAGATCTAAAGACTGCTTCTAGATCTAAGTGAAGTTCTAGCTTCTCTAACCCCGTCTCTGGTTATCCTGCTCACATCATGACATTCAGCAATCAGTGATTCATAATTTCCATAACTCACAAAATTGCTACAAAATTGGGCGCTTGTTCAGAAACCTATCCAAAAATTGACTCGTAACTCTGGAGATAGGCCTAGACCTAGAATAGAAAGATTAAATGAAAACTTACCGTTTGAAATTTGATCTTTATTTTATGAGGAAGTTGAAGAGGGAGATTACGTGAGAAGCCCGCTCTAGCATGTAAGTCAATCTTTGAAGCCGAATGGGACTACTAATCCAACAACGTTGTAATCAATAGAAAGATCTCTATAAAAGAAAAAACTCGAACTTTAACCGTTTGGGAGGGAAGCGGAGGGCACGTAATCTCCCTCTTCAACTTCCTCATAAAATAAAGATCAAATTTCAAACGGTAAGTTTTCATTTAATCTTTCTATTTTATTTCGTAAGTCTCGACGGAGACTACGTGAGAATTTAAAGCCAGTAGTCCCATTCGATTCTATGAGCAATTACCTAATTGCATAAACTGGCATAGAGAAACTCTATAAACAGAAAGTAATGCTAACTTACTACTGAATATATATTATAACCTTGCTGTAGGAACACGAGTTCGTATCTTTAGACACTCTATTAATTGCTGTTAAGCACTGCATCCGTAAACTTCTTGCCCTTGCTCTCCAAAGGCCTGTCATAGAACTTTTGGAAAGTATTTTCCTTTGCCCAGCCTGCTTGAGCCAGTATGTCTTTAAGAGGTACATCCATCCTCTTGGCAGTCGACGTGGATGCTGCGCGAGTTGAGTGTGCTTTAAACTCGGTGTTGACACCTGCGCTTCTCATCGTTAATTTTATCCAACGCGAAATTGTTTGAGAAGACGCACGATGATATGGCTTGCGATAGCAAATTAGAAGGAATCTCTCCTGACCCCTAATATCCTTGGTTCGTCGAAGATATTCTCTCAAATACCGAATGACACAAATGCGGCTATCCGCTTTATAAGCCGATACCTGAATGGAGCAACCACTACGCCCAGGTTGATTTTGCTTAAGTTTCTTGTCGAGAACACATTCCATATTCTTGTCCGTCAAATTCATCTTGTCCAAGTTCATATGGTATAATGTTTGAACTCGTTGTGCTGAAGTAAGTGCTAGAAGCATAACCAGCTTGTGTGTCAAATCCTTAAGCGGGAGCTTGGTTGCTGGATATAGCTCCCGTAAGTAGTTCAGTACAATTCCAACATCCCAAGTCTTGGTATATCTAGAAACTGGGGGCCTAAGATGAAAAACTCCCCTCATGAAACGGCTAATAGTTGTGTGCGATCCAACTGTATGAGAATCATTCTCCAGAGTTAAGAAGGAGGCCAATGCACTCCTTGCCGTGTTAATGACACTATAGCCAGCATTGCCATTATAGAACAAATCACTTAAGAATTCTAACACATTCTCAGCTTTTGTCTTGAGTTTGTTTAAATTCCTCTGCTTACAAAATGACTCCCATTTCTTTATGTACACTTTATATTGTCTTTTCGTTGAGTCCTTCCAAGATGCAGAGATGATATCAACAGTTTTTGCCCTCAGGCCTTGTTGTCGGTAGCAGCAGCTCCAAGCCTGCAACAAAGAAGATCAAGATTAGACAAAGGATGAGAGAGGTTTGACACAGGCTGTCTGAGAAGTTTCTCACTTTTGGGTAGGAACAAAGGTTCTCCAATAATCATATCCTTCAAGAGAGGGAACCAAGCCTGTGTAGGCCAATTCGGGACTACTAGTAAGCCTACTGCCTTATCGGCCATAATTTTTTGAATGCATTTTGGGACAAGACAGAAAGGAGGGAAGGCATAGAAATTCAGATTTCTCCAATCTAGTGTGAACGCATCCACTGCCAAGGCATGGGGATCTGGTCTCCATGAAACATAAGTAGACACCTGTGCATTAAGCCTAGAGGCAAACAGGTCTATGTCAGGGATACCGAAATGTTTAGCAATGCGTTCAAACTCCCTTTCATTGAGCATCCATTCTGTCCTATCATTGAATTTACGGGACATAGTGTCTGCTTCAACGTTATCCCGGCCCGCTAAATGTGCTGCTGTTATCCAAATGTCCCTTTCTATACACCAATTCCATATGTGTGTGGCAGCCTCATTACAATGTGGGGATTTCACGCCCCCCATTGCATTGACATACGCTACCGCGGTGGTATTGTCAAGCCGTAAAAGGACATGCTTATGAGACATATTGGAACAGAACGATTTAAGTGCCAGGCCAGCAGCAAGAGTCTCTAAATAATTAATTTCATTACCCTTCGCTATCACTGCCTCTTGACTGTTCCACCTACCCCCCGTATGGGTGGTCATGTTAGTTGCACCCCATCCTGCCCCACTGGCGTCTGAGCGCAATTCCAAATCAGGGTTTCTACGGTTTATCGGCCGAAAAGAAGAGTCAATATGACCAATCCACCAAAGTAGTTCCCTTCTAGCTTTGTCCAAGAGTTTCATGGGCCTATCAAAGTGGCCCCTATTTAGTCTCAATGAAACTATCTTTCCTCTTTCTAGTTCGCGATAATGCAAAAGCCCATATTGAGCTGCCGGAAAAGCTGCAACTAGTTTTCCTATAACCCTTGCAACTTGCCTAATGGAGGGAGTGGCATTTTCAAGTAATGCTGTACATGTTTCCTTTAGTTCTTCCTTCTTATCTGAAGGCAAGGTCACGGTCATGTCAATAGAGTTAAGCACAAACCCAAGGAATTTGATTTCTTGAACCGGTTCTATCACCGATTTAGTGGGATGAATAATGAACCCCAATTCAGAGAGCAGTTCTGAGGTAGCTGTAACCGCCTTTGTGGCCTGTCTGTGAGACCTACCGATAATAAGGGTATCATCTAAATAGCCTAGTACAACATGGCCTGCATTGTGTAGTGAGGCAAAGGCCGGTTTCAGCAGTTTGGTGAATAGGCGAGGAGCAGAGCTAAGCCCATTTGGGAGTGCTTTATATTGCCATAACTGTCCTTCCCAGATGAAACGCAAGTATTTGCGCGACTCTGGGTGAATTGGTACTGAATAGTATGCATCTCGGAGGTCGAGAGAAGCCATGAAACAATCTGGCGATAGCAGTAAAACTGCTGAATTAATGTTATCCATCTTGAAGTGCTGATAGGCTACGCTTTTATTCAATTCAGACAAGTCAAGAATTAGTCGAAGACCCCCACTCTTTTTGGGTCTGGTAAAGATGTTAGAGATAAATTCTCCTTGTGAATGACTACAGCGTTCTATCACATTTTTTGTCTCGAGACTCAGAAGCTCTGAGCTAATTTGTCTCGACTCTAAAGCATTACGCTTGAATGTATGAAAAGGTTTCTCCCTCGAGGGGGGAAATCGAGCCGGATCAAACTCAATTTTGTAGCCTTGAACAGCACTCAAAATGTATGGATCATTGGAAATTGCACGCCATTTATCATGAAAAGACTTTATTCGACCTCCGACAGGCAGTGTGTATTCACTAGAAATAGAAGAACAATTTTGACTCACCTGATCACTGGAGTCAGGTGCCTGTTTAGCGTCTGGGACTACTTTTTCCCTCCTCGGAAAGGCCTGCGTTGGCCCGTCTGGGGTGTTTGAGTGTGTGGGGCTGGTCTGCCCCTCCACGACGGGCGGCGCCCTAAAAAAGGCCTGTTAGTGTTCATGTTACCCGCTCCAGGGTTGTGTCTTGCTGTGTTGGAAAACCAACCAGCATCTCGGGCCTGACGTTTTGCAGCCTCTGTATATCTCCTGTAAGGATGGTAGCTGGGTTTTGGAAAATTTGCGGCACCTCTCATAACACCTGCAGCCGCCTTATGTTGGTCCTGAAGGTCTTTGACCTTTTTGCCCAGTTCATCCCCGAACAGGAGCTTTGTGACCGGGTTAGCCGGCTTGCAAAGATGAGTATAGTTCTTATTCATGTCTGGTCTAATCATGTCTTTTCTCATGCAGTTCATTTCAAAGTTTGCATTACAGAGGAGTGCGAGAGCATCCTGTTGCGTATCAGACATGTTGTGAGAGTCCAAGGTTTGGACGAAAGCTCCGATTCCCTTTGTCAGTGCTTTTTGAATCCGCTGAAGTTTCAAATCTCTGCTACGAGTCTCGGCGGGGAGATTCTCCCAAATTGCGGTATTCACTTTTGGAGCGTCCATCAAAATGCAATTTGCAGGGCATGGGTACTTGGTAGCTGTTTCTTCAATTGTTTTTTCCTCCAAATTATGTCCCATCAAATAAGATGCGGAGTTTGCTAGCTCTGAATCGAGCGGCTTCCCCACGCCTGTTGGCACTGCAAATTTTGCGGCGAAGGAGGGGACCGGAGCGTCGTCGCTGTCAAGCCCAAATCCAGCGGGTTCCTCACCGGGGATTCCTCCGTGTTCCTCACCGGGGTTTCCCCCGTAATCGGCTTGCAGCGGCCCGCTGCTACCCGCTGCCATGTCATGATCATGGTTATCCCAAAATTCATCCGCCGTTGTGAAAACGTTGTCGCCTTCCCGCTGAAAATGCGGATTTTCTGAAGACGTAGACGTAAATGTCTGTTTGGGCAATGCATCTACCACTTTAGTGAGGAGTCCCTCAAAGTGATTCAGCCGCTCTTTGAGCGATTCGATCTCGGGATTTGGTTCCACATGCTTTTTCTTGGAACTACATTTTTTCGGCGTAGTTAGTGAGGTAGACGCTTTTTGCTGAGTCGGCACTGTCGAGCGCTTGGGCTCAGGATGACAGGCTAGTGAAACCCCCGCACCAGGCTTGGCTGGATGCGACGGCACGTTCTCGTTTGCTTTGCCGGGAGCACGCTCCCGCTCGGCCGAGCCCGATTTATCTCCTTCTGACATTTTCTTCTTAGAAGTAGACATGAATTGAAAGTTGTCTAGCAGAATCAGTATAATCCAGAAAATAATCCAAAATGGAAGGGGCTAATTAAAACCCAGAAAAACTGACGAAAAATCGATAGATTGACGAGTCGATTGTAGTTTCCTGCAATCATTGACCACGCGAGGAACGAATTGACTTACATGCTAGAGCGGGCTTCTCACGTAGTCTCCGTCGAGACTTACGAAATAAAATACTAGATCTACTAAAACAATTAAGCTTAGTCTAGATCTAAACATAAAACGGATTGATTTAGTCTAGTCTAGTCTAGATCTAAGGGCCATAAATATTTGTGTGAACTCTGGTCATCCAATCATACTTAGGCCTAGACCGAATTTTCCGTCTCTTTCGTTCGTTAGCCTCTTATTGGGGTAGGGTCGGCTCTCTCTTCTTTTTGGTGGACAATTGCTAAAATCGATTTTGATTTATCATTGATTTACCAAACGAAGCCATTGAGAGAGAGCCGACCCTACCCCAATAAGAGGCTAACGAACGAAAGAGACGGAAAATTCGGTCTAACTTAGGCCTAGATTTAGATCTAGGAGTAGGGCCTAGTCTACTAACAAGCATTGAACTGAAGCAATTAGCAAATAAGTCTCTCACACAGTCACACAAAACACACTCGCACTCACTCCTGACTGTTAGAAACAGTTTTCACAAAATTTCTACAAAATTTATTAAAAGCTTAGATCTAGCTAAACATTAAACAAAAGGATGGATTTAAGGGCCATACATATTTGTGTGAACTCTGGTCATCCAATCATACTAGCAATTAGCAAATAGTGTAGGCCTAGTCAGGATTTGAAGCATCGATCATCATCATTGTTATCATTTTTACGTGCACCATAAATTATGCCTAGCCTAAGGCATAAACATGTCTAGATTCTAGATCTAGAGGATCTAGATCTATAATTAGGCACACATTCACACAAGCCGTCCACCGTCGGCAAAAGGTCATCCTTGTCTAGATGCTGAACAGGCTTTGGCAAGTAGCAGAATAGAAATAGAAATGGTAAGGATCAATTAGACAGCGGCCCCCACCTGTTTTTCTTTCAGAGTTTCAGCCTGCAATGCACCAACCACACTCTTCCGCTGTGTGCGCAGTCTGCCTCCTCCTCCCGGGAAGGTAGACTGCCGCCTGTCGCTTGCCCCAGCTCCACCACTGTCGAAATGTTGATCATGGTTAGACATCTTTAAGCCACCAGATTGGACAAAATATAGCCAGTTCAGTGATTATTTATTGCTACTTGTATTCTAAGGTCTGAAGAAAATGCCATTTTCGAGGAATACACACGTACACAGGATAATAGATTAGATACCGGTATAGAATCTCTAGACCTAGAAAAGATGAAAAGCCAGCGCTCCATCCAACGTACAGTATACATACAGAACCTGTGTCGAAAATTTGCGCGTACAACATGCTAATTGGATGCGCACTGTACTAACGGTACGCGCTATCTAATTTTGCAGACGATCGATAATATCGCTGCCTACTTGTAATCATACATAATTTCAATCGATATCAATTACCATATCCTGCAGTGTGCACGCGCATTCATTAAATTACGCTTTCAAATAAATTGTCATCCAATCACACGGCCCCACCGCCCCCTCGCATACTGTAATCATTCAAGCAGTCTATAGTACAGACATTTAAAGCACCGGCGCGCCACGAAGCAAAATACTTTTAAAATGACCCTTGGTCCCTGGTCTCATCCGACCAACAGGCAACAGCTAATCAATTCATTTTCTTTCTGGCGGGCCTACTTACTCATACGTAAGGAGATTGCACCCTTGCAACTGCGTTCGGGGCTCTAGCTGTACCCTGGGTCCGCCCCCGCAGCCCCCACCCCAATGTTCGCGATACAAATGTAGAAACTGAAAAACCCATGCCCCCCCCCCCCCGAAAATCCCCCCGAAATTCTTCAGCTAGAATTTTACCTGTCCCCTCTTGTCGTTGGATTCTCAAACAAAACATTTAGGCCTGATAGCCTATATGTAGAAGATAGGCCTATTTTTCCCATATGCATGCGCGGTTATAGCATATTTTTACTGTTTTTCAGTGGGGGGGGGGGGGGGGGGGGGGAGGTTGGCGGGCTCAGTGTTCTTGCATTCATTTTACGTTTATATTGATTCTTGGTAGACCGTTTGGTAAATTTATTGTGAGTTTATAGCCAACCCAGGCTAGTTGAATGTACTTCACACATTTTCACCCCCCCCCCCTTTTCTTCAAGTTTTAAATCAATCAAAGTTCAGTCATTCTAGAATGAAACTTAAGAAACCAAAGACAAAACCGCTTAATTCATTTATTATCCATTTTTTTTTTGGGGGGGGGGGGTGAAGAAAATTTCAGGGGCTTGATCCACTGCTGACTTTCCTTTTACCGTTGATATACAGTAGTATTGCTTTTTAAATCATAGTCAGAGGCATACGCGTACGCAGGGGGGGGGGGGGGGTTGACCCCCCCCTTTGACTCGTTTTATGTGTGTATGTTTGAGGACCCCCCCCCCTTTGCGTTTTTTTTCTATAAACAAAATATTAACAAAAATAATGGTATTGGGTGACCCCAAAAACCTGACCTTACCCTCCCCCCCCCCCCCCAACGAAACGAAATATCGATCGGCCAATTTTTAAATTTTGGCACCCCCCCCAAAAAAAATGTCCTCTTACCCCCTCCCCTCCCCCCCCCCCCCCCGCTTATTCAGCGGCTGACTGAGTCGTTGCGAAATTTTCGGCAAGATTTTAAAATTTACCCCCCCCCCCCCCTCTCAAAAAAATCCTGCGTACGCGCCTGGTATGCCTGTACATGTCGCATAAGAAGGTAGCCTACTGATAGATTGTTACCAACACGTTTGAGGCTAAATTTCTGTTATTTAGGTGGGCATGGATTAGATTAAGTGTTCCCACCCCCCCCCCCCTCCCCCGGGCAGAAATTAGTCGAAAAGGCACCCAAAGAACGCATCCAAAACAAGGCAAAAACACCTGCTTTCATTTTTCTGCTTTCGATCGCAACATGGAGGACGGAGGAAGAGGAGGAAGAGCCGAAGAGGAGTGTGCGTGTATTAATGGTCCGAAGATCCATTTGCCGGAGAACGAACCCGAGAACGAAACTGCGTAAATTTAGGCATTGCAATTACCGATCAACACCATACTATATTATGGGCTCATTTCCTTTCCAAAGATGAAGGGACTCGCATTGCTATTGAGTCGGATGGCTCTGAAGAGAAGGCGGTTCGAGCGCCATCAACGCTAAACAAAACCACAACGTTTGATTTGGAAGAAGAGACGGCTTCTTCTTCTTCTTTTTCTAAGACAAAGGTTACTACGATTAATTGATATTATTTTTATTTTGGCAACGACTTATTGATATGTACAGCATGCATCAATAGACTCTAAAAACTGAAATGCTAAATGTCAATTTAAAAGGGCCGAGGAGTGACCACTCTTTCAAAATGTCAGATTGTTTCTTTTAACCTGCTAGATTCAACCTTTATAGTGTTGAATCCAGCATGTTCAAAGTGTTAATCTACCATTTTGAAAGAGTGGTCACTCCTCGACCCTTTTAAATGGTGATTTAACATTTCAGTTTTTAGAGTGTAACAATCTTAACAAGAGAGAGAAAGCGAGAGAGAGAGAGAGAGAGAGAGAGGGAGGAAGAGAGAGAGAGAGAGAGAGAGAGAGAGAGAAAGAGAGCGAGTGAGAGAGAGAGAGAGGGAAAGAGGGGTGGGGTGGGGCTGGTCACAGTCTGAATATTAAACCCTAGACCACGAGCTTATTATAACTCAATGAAATACATAATGATGTACAATAAGGCGAGACTACGAACAAGTGACCATTCATAGTGAGAAGGTGGTGATTTTTCGCCTCCCAGGCATAAAGGCAAGCTAGGGTAAGCTAGATTTACAGCATGCATCTACACTCTTCACGAGAGAAAGATAAAGAGAGAGAGAGAGAGTAATAATCTAATAATCTAATACAAAAGAGTGAGAGGGAGAGAGAGAAAGAGAGAGTGACATTGAGGAATTATAATATTGTAATACTCGGGGGCGGCGATCCGGGGGACGGGGGGGGGGGGGGGGGGAGGGGGCACGTCCACCACAATTATTTATGGATATAAAAATGGATAGCAGGTTATTACTGACTAAAGACTGCAACACACTCTTGTAGGCTCTGGAGGGCACTAGAGTGCAGCGTTCAGACTGATAAAAATGCAAAAATCTTCTCGCTCCCTTGCATAATATCCTTTAAAATGTACAAGTACATTCAGTGGTATCACGTAAGGACCGTTTACACTGTATGTTTACAAGATTAAGAGTTATAGAAATAGATCAGTGCTAACTTCAGTGCTACAAAATTGAAAACTCCTCTTGCTCCTTTATGGAGTCCCTTCCTGCCACGCATTAATTTTGTCCTCCCCGGTCATGACAAGAAATCGTCGCCCCTGGTTACTAATTCATTCTACCGTTGTATTGATGGAGTATCATGAAAGCGCGATACTGCATGTTGTGCACCACAAGTGCCCTGCTGACTTCAATGAAAAGTCTAAAAAGCAGACTGCGTCCGTTGTTTCATTCTAGATGCATTTAAGTAAAGTACTGTAGGACCTATATGGAACAACCCTGTTTTGCGACCGAACTACGACGTTTCTCATCAGGCCAATTTATGAATTAATCAATTAATATTGTCTGTAATAAATATTTAAAATAACTGAAATCAAAATGATAATTTATCATCTGAGTGATGTGACAAATCTATGTGTTATTTACTGAGATTTAATCCAAATACACACAACAACCACTGCCCATTGCACAAGTTAACTGTCACTGTCTGTCATTTCTTTTTGGGTGGGGGCGGGGAGGCAAGTAACTCATTTTCCAGGCACACACTTTGAAAGCTGTATCCCAATGTTTTTCTCCAGAAATCCCACATTGTAGCAGACATTTCCGTGAATAAAAGCCGAGAATCCCTAACCGAACCCTTACCCAGGGGCGGATCCAGCCGGCGGCAAGGAAGGGAGCCAAATAGGGGGCCCAATTCGTGAGAAAATGTTTAGCGGCGAGTCAGCCAGCCGGCGAATAAGCAGGGGGGGGGGGGACGGGTAAGGAGCACTAATTTTGTTCTACTTCCAAATTCGTGAGAAAATATTTAGCGCCGAATCAACACCCCCCATGCACCAGGGGGAGGGGGCCCGTCTTCTTTTTTTATTAAAAAAGGCTAAATTTAACTGTTTTGGGCCAGGTGAGCCCCGCCCCTAGATCTGCCACTACCCTTACCTGAACGGTGCCCCTGTATAGCATGGAATCTTCATGATCGTCACAGCGGTTTGTGGTTGAGGCACATTATTCCTTCCCAAAACAGCACTTATAGGGATTATGCATATAGATGGATGTACATTGATGTATGTTACATAGTGGCAGCAACAGGATTTAGTAACTCATTTTTGTTCTTCTCCCAAATTCGTGAGAAAATATTTAGCGCCGAATCAACACCCACCCCCCTTGTGCCAGAGGGAGGGGGCCCGTCTTCCTTTTTATTTAAAACAGGTTAAATTTACCTGTTTTTGGGGCCAGGGGGAGGCCCCCCTATATAGATCCACTACTGCTCTAGATAAGCGGTGCCCCTGAATATCATGCATGAACACCGACCCTTAACATGGAATCCTCATGTTTGTCACAGCGGTTTTGCTTTTGAGGCACATTCCTTCTTTCCAAAACAGCACTTATAGGGATTATCCATATACAGATGGATGCACACCGATGTATGTTACAGCACCAGGATTTAGTAACATTATAATAACATTATAATAGCACTTAACCATTGGCGATGTTCATGAATAAGCGCTTTACCGATAATAGCAATACCTCAGTCATCAGATTCCGGCTTGCCCGCGCACAACGTATGCACATTCTCTACTCCCTGGGGAGCATTCTAGTCAGGCGCCAATTTACAGACGCTCACTGCAGTGCTGAGCAAACTGTAATGACTTTCGCATCCTATCGGATACCCATATAACACCCGGGGAGAGAGAAGCAAATGTGGATCTTGCCAAAGGACGTTAGTGCCTGGCCGGGATTCGAACCTTCAACCTTAAGATAGAGAGTCAAGTGAATGAACCACTATACCACAACCTTAATTTCGTTAAAAGGGGAAATTTCGAGGGCCGGCGTAGGGGATGGGGATATTTAATTGCCTATGCTGGTATATATTATACAAGTAATACACATCAGTGAGGGCATTTATAGTAAGAATTTCCCACACGAGGTACCTTTGGAACAGTCTAACAGTTATCGGGGCGTTTGGATTGTTTTAAAG